ATATTTAAATACTAATAAAAATTAATTTAGTATAAGTAATAGTAAAGTTACTTATTATTAATATAAGAATAAGGTTTAGAAGTATTTAAAAAAAGTTAACTTAAACTAATAAGTATGTAATTTTAATTTACTTTCTTATATTACTTAAACTGCCTAACCTTACTAATTTAAATAGAAAATTAAATACTGCCTGTTCTAGCCTAGTATGTTTACAAATTACTTTAGCTATTCTAAAGTAATAATAAAGCATTTTAAGACCTTTTATATCTTTAAAGACTTTTAAAATTGCAGGGCCATTGTTCCAGAGGACGGCGAGGCTTTAATTACCTTAACTACTGTTTAGGATATGTGCTAAATTATAGCACAGGCCTTGGAGTATAATGGGGTATGGCCTTATGTCGGGGGTATACAAGGGACGGCATTTACTGTTTTGGAGCTTATTACACTAGGCAAGAAGATCCAAGGTATAAAAGATACTATCCCAAATAGATATAGTAATCTTAAAATCTTTTCTAATACTATATAAGGCCTGGTTAAAGTTAAAAAGATCTCTAACGAGGATCTAGAGACTTGGAACGTTATAACTTTCTAGTATCCTATAGTAAAGCACTATGCTCTTCCGGACAAGATAAGGGAGCAGGTGTCTAAAGCTGTCCTTATAGAATATTTAGCCGGCCTTAAGAGAGGCATATAGACTGTATTAAATAAGTAAAACAAGCTCCTCCCTAACTTTAAGTTTACCTCTACGAAAAGCTACTTAAAGGATATTTAGCTATAAAAGAATATTTTAATAGCTAAAGCCTATATGTTTTATATCTTTTTAATAAATTTATATTATAAGTATATTAATAAGTATTTTCTTTATATTAATATAAGTAGTTACCTTAGTATTTTCTTTATATATATAAGTCTAAATAAGAAATATATTAATATATTTTAAAAACATCTAGGAAAAGAATAATTTATATCCTAAAAGGGCTATTCTTTATAATCTTTATAAATATTACAGGAACAGATATTTAGAAAGTTAAAAGGAGCAAGATATAATAAAACAGTATAATAAATAGTATTATAAATACTAGTAGTATTATAACCTATAAGGGCACCTGCCCCAGGCACTTTAGTATATATAAACCTGTTTAACTACAAAAGCTAATACTAAAAGTGTTAAAAAAGTTACCTAGTAATATTAAGGTATTAATGTAAGCCTTAATTTGCAGAGTATATAATAAAATAATAAAACAGGTAGTAAAAAAGTAATAGGAAATTATACAGGAAATTAAAAGTTATTACGCCAGAATCCTTAAGACTCTATAAAATGCCTAGGCACACTTGAATAAATGTTAGAAGGTCAGGAGAAGGCAATTAGTTAGCTGCAATAGGATAGTATATTCAAGGCATACAGGCACTTATAAGCAGCTAAACAGCTCTATAGAGAAAGTGTATTATATATAAGTAGGATATAATCCCTTGCAGCTAGATAGTAAAGATAATCTCAAGCCTTACAAGTCTGCTAACATCTCAGATACAGGCAGAATTAAAGCATAAGCCAGAAGCCCTAATATATAGGATTGAGGATAACGTTTAAAACGAACTTTCATGTAATAGAATTACTAATAACCAGCATTCATACTTCGAGGTTCAATCCAACAAACGTCTTCTCCTAGCCACAATGTATTCTTACTAGGTAGGGCTACTACTGTAATGTCCCATTTCAGTAAAGCATAAATGCAAAGCCCAATCAAACGCATCTAAATTAATAATTCGTAATATCCTGAGTTGAGAATCTCCGTGCACGCCATACAACCGGAGAAACACCAACAACGGATCGTCGGATAACTCGGATCAAGCGGCTATACCGCCTATAACCCCACATGGAACAAAAAGAACAAGTATCCGGCTTCTAGCCGCTGTATCAGCTCTGGAAAACAAACGTCGTCAATCAAACCTCGCATATTATATCATGGCAGACGCAGCAGTGTCCCGGGTCGGCTTTAAGCGGAAGCGCGTCGCCAAGGCGTGTCATAAGTGCCGGTCGATGAAATCCAAGGCAAGCTTACCCGGTCTATCTTATCTCTTTTCTTGTTATTGATTTGTTAGTGTGATGGCAAATGGCCTGAGTGCAGTCGCTGCAAGGGCTACGGGTATGATTGTGTCTATGCAGCTGGGGGTCGAGCCAAGAGGCGCCAGGAAGCCTCTACCGATGATGGCTCCCTGGACAGTGCTGTTCAAGGACATGGAGATTTGCGTGAAGCGATAAGGCAGTACGAGTCATTATTGGACATGGTAGTGTCGAAGCTGCCTACACCACAACATCAGGAAGATGCATCTTCAGTGTTAACTTGTATGAAAGCCGCGGACAGAGCCTTGTCCAACATCGACGCAACTACTCTGACGACAAGGCTAACAACAGCCTTGACTGGCTCTGATACTCTCTCCTTCCGTCCGCAGGTCAGCCAGGCGGAGAGATATCTTGGTACAGTGAGCGACGTGTGCTTCTTCAACCTGGTCAAACGGGTGCTGCAGGCCCAGCCTGGTGATTCTGATTCTGACCAACGAGTTGACAGCTACGAGCAAGTCGATGACATTGCATCTCCGAGTGTGAATGTCATGCCTGGGAGAGTAGTCGAGCTGCCGAGTCGCGAGGCGGCGAAGGTGTTTGCTGATGTGTACTTTTCTACTGTGCATCTTGCTTTTCCGTTTATTCCGCAGTCGCTGTTTATGAGGTCGCTTGATCAAGCGCTGGATTCATCGGATGACTGCTCTCTGGATAATACCAGACTGGCACTGATATGTAAGTCTAGCCATCGTTGTGGCATTTGAGGTTCGTTACTGATAATATGGGTAGACGTCATTTGTGCCATTGGAGCTTACTATACCAGCATACCGGGAGAGCAAATTGGAGCAAACAAGTGTCATGAAGTTTACTTTCTTCAAGCACTGTCTCTAGCTCTACCCGCAGGGGCAGACCGGTCAATCCATCACGTCTCCCTGCTCCTAGCCCAATGCTTCTACATGTTGGCAGTCTGCCGAACAGACAGGTAGGTTTAATTCCGATGTCATTCTACTTATGTGTAGTTAACTTGACAGCTGTTGGGCAACGCTGGGACAAACCGTCCGTATGGCCCAGAGTATCGGATTGCATGTCGAGCAAAACGATCCCCAAAGGCTCAAAGGGTCAGGGCGTTTACTTGTAGAGCGACGGCGGCGGATCTGGTACTGCATATATGTTCTGGATCGCTTGATCTCTCTGCAGCTTGGTCGACCCCCAGCGATCCATGAAGACTACTGCCATGTTCCGCTGCCTTCTCGACTTGGAGATTCTGACATTGACTGGGATGGCGATGAGTTTCCGACGATGTTTGAAGGGCCTTCTGTTGGTGACTACCATCTAGAAGTCATCTCCTTCTCTAAGATCGTCAGCCAGGTTCTACGAGATCTGTATAGCCCGAGAGCTGGCCAGAACTTGACTAGTGATCTGTTCAATACCAAGGAACTCGACCTCAAGCTTGTACAATGGAAGCTATCACTGCCTAGAACATTGCGATTCGACTTGGGACATGCTTTTGACAAGTCCTTCATCTTCAAACGCCAGGTACGTATCTATCAGAACTAATACTCACTACTCATTACTAACATACCGAAGCGAAGCATGTTGGCTATCAAATATCACCATCTACGAGCTCTCATTCACAGACCATATCTCTGCTACCCGATAATGCGCAATCTCGATGACGAGACAGACATTGCACTCAGCCAGCCAAACTGGGCCCTCGTAAGCATGTATGAAAAGGTATGCATCGCCGAGGCACGCGAGACAGCACGTCTACTGCACTGCATCTCGTGTGAGAAGGATCTGGTGCAGGAATTCCCTTGGTGGCAGATGATTTCGTGTTTGATCTGCGCAGGGTCTATCTTGGTGGTCTCAAGCATTTTTAGTCAGCAGACGGGTGATGCATTGGATGGTTTCGACGCTGCTGGTATTTCTGATGATGCGGAGACTTGTCTGAGGGTGTTTGAAGCTTTGAGTGTCAACTCGAAGGGTGCGAGGATTGCGAGAGATATGATGGAGGGGCTGAAAGAGTGCGGGCTGAGATGGAGTATGTGTACGCATGTTTTTTGCTGAAGATTGTACTGACATATCTTGCAGGAGACGCGACGCTGACATCGGAGCCAGCATACGCGACACTTCCACCTCATACAGCCTTGACAACTAGAGGTCACATTCCAAGTCTAGATGGACAGGACGCGTCGTTGTCGGAATTTTCTTACACCACACCAAGCGCCTGGCCAGCGGAGATTGTCGATTCCATGGCGTGGTCGGTCCAGTTCTTTGGCGCCGTTCAGTCTGGGGAATAAAGCCGCGTCAGAGGCTGATGTCCTCCCTGCAGCGTTGGAGAGGATGGAGGAGAGTCTCTGTCACCACGTTGTGAATAAACGAGCCAGACAACAATTCAATATACGACAGTGAAGTCGACGTAAGCGATAGGGTTATGAGATGTATTATACATACCGAATGTGGCTTGTTGAGCCAGTGGCTGCAACGCGTAGTGTTATTTCGCGTTTTGTGATGACGTGACGCGACTTATCCTTTCCGCAGTGGAGACATAGTAGCCACCAATCCAATTAGACAGGTCGAAGCTCTGGCGGATCTGAAGTTGCAGGGTAGCTAGATCTTTGAGTCATAGAGCTTCAATCACTATTTAATATAAAGACTGATTTATTACTTAACTTGCAGAGACTGCTAATTAAATAATAATAATAGCTGTCATTTAATTTATCTTTAATGGAGATTACGGTAGAAACGGTGTTGCGATGTTTAGTTAGTATCTCGATGCTAATTTTGTTTCCTGACCCCTCAACAATAACCAGATCTCAATCTAGTTAGCTAAGGCTTGACAACCACGGAATAAACAATAAGTATCGGATTGCATCACACATAGAATTCACACCGCTACAGCACGCAATACCCATAATCCTGTTTTCGTAAACTTGACAGCTCGGGCAATACCAGTCAAACACCTCGTGGCCATCCCGACAGGCCCCGACAGGCTGAAATGATGCAATCCCCATTCGTAGCGCATGCAGCTGAAGAGGTCCAGACCAGGGAAATAGCGACAAAGACGTAATCCCAGCGGAGATCATACGTTGCACAATTATGATCGAAGATGCCCAGCAGAAGAGCTGCCAAATTGAGGAGCTAGAGAATGTGGATGACGGAATGGCGCACAGCTCTTGGCCCAACGCGGTAAGGTCGACAGGGATGTTGCTGTCCAAAGCTGGGAAACCCAGGCGTCAATCAACAATTTGGCTGCACCCCACACGATCTGTTAGTTCCCGTGGCGGTCATAATGATGTCGACGACGTAGCTAAGTCGAGCTGGCCTTGCTTGCGGAACAAGTGAAGTTGGTATATGAGGGCGGTGTAAGGTCTCATTTAGTAGAGCTCATCATCAAACGCTCACGACTCAATAACGTCTAATAACTCACTCTTGATACCCATACCTACCATAAAAAAAACACTGCACGATATTCACAATGAGTAGTCTGAGCGCAAAGATCAAGGACATTCTCCACTCCGACGAGTCCAAGGACACCACCACAGAGACTTCTCACCATCCCCCAGGATCATTCCCCACAGAAGAAATGGAGCCTAGCGAAACTCACCAAGGCTACTCAAAGGGATACGAACAGGAACATAACAAGCTTCACAAGGCCGATGACCCTCGAGGTCATGCACACAAAGACTCAGGCGTTGGTTTCACCGAGCCCAACGATCCTACCTCGTACAGGCCCTCCAACGAGCCCATCTCCGAGCGGCGCGATGATCCTCTAAACAGAACTACCGACACCACTACAACCGCTGGCACTACAACCGCTGGCACTACAACCGCCGGCACTATAGGTACTACAGCTGCTGGAGGTCTGGGTGACACCAGCAAGATCCCCGCTACTGAGGGAGCCACTGGCGCTGCTGCACCCTCTTCCCAAGACCATCCCTACTGGGGAGACCTTCCCAGCGGAGGCGTTCACAACACTGTCATTGGCCACGGCAGTCCTGAAGATGAGAACGCACGTCATCGTGCTGTCCACTCTGGTGCCACAGAACCAACTCGAACGGCTGGCACTCTCGAGAGCGGAACATTCCTCCACCGAAACGATCGCGACACCACTTCCTCTATATACTCCACCGATGCTCAGCAAACTACCCAAGAGAACCCTAGCCAAACATCCGGCTCTCACTTTAAGGAGGGTGTAGCTGGCGCTGGTGCCGCTGGCGCGGGCGCACTCGGAGCCCATGAGCTGAGCAAGCGCCGTCACGACGATGAGACACAGACCCCAAGCAAGGTTGACCAAACCACCGATAAGACCCACGACGAACACAAGGGTCGATCATTCCCTCTTCTCGGCAAGGACCACAAGGAGAAAGAGACTCATCACAAGGAGGAGAAGCCCAAGGAACATAAGGAGAGCAAGCTTGGCGCCCTCTTCCATCGCAAGGATAAGACTGAGACAGAGGCCAAGGCTGAGCAGGAGGCTGATCAGGAGAAGCATGGCCACTCTAAGCCTGCACTGGCTGCCGCTGGAGCTGCTTGGGGTGCGAGCTCTGCTGGCAAGGGACATGATGACAAGACTCAGCGTGATGTGACAGCGCAGGAGCCTACTGGTACTCGCGGTACGACACAGTATCCTGCTTCTGGACTCGACTCTACGAGGGATTATAGTACCCAGCCTACTGGTACTACCCAGCAGCAGGATAGTTCGCACCGAGGCGCTGGTCTTGCGACTGGTGCTGCTGCAGGCGTTGGAGCTGGCGCTTTGGCGTCGCATTATGCTCAACGCTCTGACAATGACCGAACTGGCACCGCCGGAGCTGGCTACGACGCCCAGAGCTACGACCCTGCTGGCACTTCTACAAGAGACCCTGCCTCTCAGACCTACCAGCAGCAGGGCTCTCACGGCGATCACAGCCTCACTAAGGGGACTACTGCGGGTGTCGGTGCTGGTACACTTGCCTCGCACTCCAGCTCCAACCAGCCTTCAACCCTGGGAGGATTGTCCTCAGCATATGGTGCTCAGCCAGACCAGCCGGCCAACTTCTCTCACAAGGATCCCGTCGGTCAGACTTCTCAGCAGCATGACTCTCAGCATGGTGCAGGACTTGCTGCAGGAACTGCCGCAGGTCTTGGTGCTGGTGCTCTTGCGTCACGATCAGGTCGTGAGCATGAGACTACTGGTCAGCATACTGGGCTTGACTCGAACCGAGTTCTTGACTCGCAGGGCAACCAGTCTGCCTACAGTTCTACCATTCCTACATCTCATTATGAGCAGCAGGATTCCCACCGTGGTGCTGGGCTTGGTGCCGGAGCCTTAGCTTCTCGATCTGGACGCGAACATGAGCCTACTGGCCATTCAGGACTTGACTCCAGCCGAGGTCTTTCATCGCAGACTACTGAGCCTGGATACAGCTCCACCAACCCTACCTCTCAGAAGCAGCAGGACAATTCTTATTACGGCGCTGGTCTAGCTACTGGTGCTGCAGCCGGACTTGGCGCTGGAGCCCTGGCCTCCCGATCTGGTCGCGATCATCACTCTGAGCAACCCACTGGCCTTGACTCCAACCGAGGTTTTGAATCTCAGATCACTCAGCCTACTACCACTTCTAATCGCGATCCTACCTCTCAATCCTATCAACAGGAGGGTTCTCACCGAGGAGCTGGACTCGCTACCGGTGCTGCTGCTGGCCTCGGTGCTGGAGCTCTTGCCTCGCATGAGCCTAACAAGCGTGATGAAGATCGATACTTGAGCAACGACGGTTCCCGAACAGCCCAAACTGGTGATACTAGTACTAATGCTGGCCTCGGCACCTCTTCCTCCGCCTTCGACAGCTCTCACCATGAGCCCTCCCGAAAATCTGAGCACTCCCAGCGCTCAACCGGTTCTCACCACTCCACCCTCGCCGAGAACGCCAACGCCGGAAAGTACAACACCCTCGCATCCGGCACTCCATCCGGCGTAGCCTACGACGACGATCTCTCCACCAGCCGCCCCACCCAGCAGCTCACGTCTGAGAAGAAGGATGATAGCCACTTCGGCGCCAAGGCAGCTGGTCTAGGAGCTGCTGCCGCTGGAGCTGTTACTTCAGCTGCTTTGTCTCGCAACAAGGACGACAAGCCTGTTGAGGACAAGATTCGCGAGGAACCTGAGACTGAGCGTAAGCTTGATCAGACTGAGGCTCAGAGACCGATTACTGGCGCTGTTGCGCCGCAGGTTGGAACGAACAAGCCTGTTATTCACAAGTGTCAGAAGTGTGGTGAGGATAACGATATTAGCAAGTACTTTACGTCAAACTCTGGAAAGATCTAAATATTGGGATGGGATATGGGATAAATATACGATCATGAGACATGTTTATATTTAGCTATCTATGCAGTTCAGTAATACGATGATCCAATTTGTTTCATCTTTGATTTGCGACATGTTGTTCACGCTGCCGTGAAGATGTCCGATGTTATGATCACCCGGTATATAACCTTTCTGTCGCTGCTTGAGTCTACCAAGCTAGCTGCTCAGCGTCCTTCCCACAAGCTAACCCTGAGCAGAATCTCATATCATTCTCCGTCCCGTGAGAGAAATCAGATGGAAAATGTTGCGCTGGATTGATCTCCTTCCCAGCCGCCTTTTCCAACCGATAATGGCCGTTCAAGATACCTCTAACGCGATGCTGAAAGTAAAGAGGACCTTGCTCCATATTAGGATGCATCTCACCATTGACAAACACACCAGCATTGAGGTTCTTCTGCGCATTATTACAAAGCCATTTATCCTCAGCCAAGATCCTCTTGAACATCGCGTCAATGGTCTGGAAACCCTCGTCAGTGGCGTTCTTGTGTCGATACACTTCGTATTCCATGGAGCAGTGGCCTGGTGAAGTCGGAACACATCGCATCATGTAAAAGAAGTTGGGGCTATCATGTTAGTTTATATCAGGGAATGTGAAGGAGAGACTTACGAGACAGTCATGCAGGCGTTGGGGAAATAATAGTTGCTCACGATTTTGAGACCTTGTTCTTCCATCTCAGGTTTCGTGTTAGCAAAGTGCTCGATGTTGCCGCCCTTGGTATCGACGCGATATGCCGACAGATCAGCGACATCAGCTGCATCTGGATGAGCCATCTTGCAGTGATAGCATTCGTTGTAGTTATCAGCCAACGTCTTCCAGTTGTAGTCACCGCTCATGCCCCAGGTATGGTTAAAGTCATAGTCTTCGAAATTGAAGCCCTCATGTCTTGCCATTTGATCAATGTTCTTGAACTCGGTTGAGAAGTCCTCGGGCACTTTTGAGGAGTCAAGGTTGACCCAGATGAAGCCTTTGGCATCAACATGAACGTGGATAGGCAGAAGGCCATTCTTCGTCTTATCGAAGCCTTTCATGTCATCATATCCCGGAGCTTTCGCGAGCTGGCCATTGAGACTATACGACCAACCATGGTATTTGCAGGAGAGAATACTTGACTTTCCCTTATCTTCAGTCATGATAGGAAAAGCCCGATGTCTACAGATATTGTGGAATCCATTGATCTGTCCCTGCTTATTCTTCACAAGAAAGAACTGAAAGCCCGCTTGCTCAAACTTGACCCATGAGCCTGTCTCCGTGAATCTGAGTTTGTGCGTTGTAAGGATCCATTTCTTAGCAAAGATAGCCCGTCGTTCGAGTTCGTATACTTCTGGGGATCTATACCAAGAAGCGGGTAATGCTCGTGCTGTAGAGGTGGTGTCTTTGAGAAATGTGGGGACGGGATCTTTATGGGGTCGGGATTGGGAGAGATACCTCGCTAGCAAGCATACGAGCGCTGCAACGCCAGCGGCTGAGAAGAGATAATGGATGAAAGAGGGCGAGATAGAGTTGGACATGTTTGCAGGTTTAAACGAGGTTAATGGTCAAGCTGTTGTTGTATTGGCGAGTCATGAGGAGGGTCTTTATGGGCTTGGTCTGAGACTATTCTACGTGGCTGACTTCATGTGATGGGCTATTTGACTATCATCAACTCGGACTCTGGCCGCTGAGAATAATAGATCGGGGAGCTCGATTCCGAGTCCGCCGTCAGGTGGTTGTAGCGGGGGACGGAGCCAGTTAGTCAAGACACGGGAAGAATCCGTGTTCGGTCCGTGTCCGACTTTCGGCTTGAGGCTTATCATGATAAACACGGAAACTCACCCAAACAAAATGGCGATTCAACTGCAGATACCCCAAATAGCTACAGGAAATACTAAAATACATGAAACTTTTGACCCAGTTACACTGATAAGCTGAAAAGCCATGCATGCTGTACGGAATGTCAATACTGAGACTTAACGCCGGATATTGGTCTGAGACAGTAACAAGTGAACATCATTGCCATTAACCATTCAATAATTATTACCAAGTCTATTCGGTCAATGGTAGGATTCGACCGTCTGGAACACTCTCGCCAAGGGCTATCCCAGTCATGCTCCGCCCTAAACAAATACACTCAGCCTAATCATCTTGGCTAGATCACAACAACCTCGCCTATTGGTGCCCATATCTCCCATCCCTTCACCCCACCTTCTCTAGATAGCGCTACCCTCTCAGTTTGTGGGGTAGCGCGTATCAATTTCCACTGAAGCTTGGATAACCGAGGGATCAAGGCTGGAGAATTATCAAGGAGAATTACTGATTCAGGTTTAAAAGCGACTTGAGCTTCCCTATTTGACGCAAGATCTTGCATATTCTTTCTACATCGTATGATTTGAGAGCTACAATAATGTCGACTATTCAGGCTTTAGGTTCTGTTAAGGAGAGTGGTGATCAGGACAAGGACGTCATGGTTGCTGATGATGTTTCTTATCATGTCAGCACTGTCAATGAGCTTGGTAACGTTGTTGATCCTGTTCTTTCCGCTAAGATCAATCTTGTCAACGAGGTAAGACCACTGAGAGATGCTGGAGTTGATCATGCTGACTTTCAAGACCATCAATGAGATCGGGTGGACAGGCTTCCATCTCAAGCTCTGCTGCCTCACTGGCTTCGGCTTCGCAGCTGACTCTCTGGTAGCCTTCCTCCAGAGCGTTGCAGCCGGTCAAGCTTACCTTGAGATCGGTCATGGACGATATCCTACCGGGTCGACCATGGCTCTTTACGCTGGACTACAGATGGGAGCTCTCTTCTGGGGCTTCGGTGCAGACATAGTCGGTCGACGAATCGCCTTCAACATTACTCTCTTCATCGCTGCCATTGCTACCATCGTTGCAGGAGCTGGTCCCAGCTGGGTTGCCTTCTGTGTCTTTGTAGCCTTCCTTGGCTTTGGCGCTGGCGGTAATCTTGTCTTGGATCCAACTGTGATGCTCGAGTTTGTTCCTGCGAAGCAGCAATGGGTCATTACTGCTATGGCTGGATGGTGGGGAGTTGGTCAGGCCAGTGCTGGTTTCATCGCATGGGGCTACTATTGTAAGCTACATCTACCGTTTGACCTCCAGGGGTTATGTAACTAACTCAACATCCCTACAGCTCGAAATGATTGGACTTGCGTCGCTACGGTCGAGACATGCACATGGCAGAACAACAAATCATGGAGACTCGTCATGTTCACCGGTGGAGCCCTCATGTTTGTCATGTCCGCCCTCCGTATCCTCATCATCCGTCTCCCCGAAACTCCCAAGTTCCTTGTCACCAACGGCAAAGAGGAGGAGCTGGTTGCTATGCTTCAAAAGCTTGCCAGCACTCACAAACGACCTTGCTCATTGACACTTGAGGCTCTTCAGGCTTGTGGCACAGCTCATACTCCCGATCACGGTGGTAGCAAGGGGTCTGCTGTTCGTGGGTTGGGGAAGAGTCTCGTAGGTCACGTCAAGGGACTCTTTTCGACCAAGAAGCTTGCTCTGTCGACTTGTCTCATCTGGCTTTCTTGGACTTTGATTGGTCTTGGATATCCTCTCTTCTTCCTTTACCTCCCGTGAGTTCTCCTAAGCTCAGCAAACTAAGGGAGCTGAGACTAACAGATTCAGATCCCTTCTCAGCAGCCGTCTTCCTGACTATCAACCCTCCTTCACCGAGACCTGGCGCGATTACACCATCACCAATATCTGCGCCATCTTCGGTCCCCTCATCGCCGCTGGTCTTGCTGAAGTGAGCTTTCTTGGACGACGGTATACAATGGCAATTGGAGCTGTGATCACAGCCGTCTTCTTCTTTTGCTACACCATCATCAAGACGCCAGCCCAGAATCTTGCCATCAGCAGCTGCATCTGTAAGTTCAGCCTATCCCTCATGCTGTTTATACTAAGAAATCCCAGCTGTTTGCATCAACCTCTACTACGGTACACTCTACGCATACACCGCTGAGGTATTCCCGTCTGAGCATCGAACTACAGGCAATGGTATCGCGGTTTCGCTTAACCGTATCATGGGTCTTCTGTCTGCTGTCATTGCGGTGACTGCTGATACTACTACTATAGCACCCTTGTACATCTCGGGGGCTTTGTTCTTTGTCATGGCTATCGTTTCTGTCATTTTGCCATTCGAACCATATGGTCGAAGTGCATCCTAGGGAAGGGAGAGTCTCAAGCTGCCCTGATAGGCTCAAACCTCGGGTGTCATTGTGTCAGTGTAGTATTTGGTAGTGGTCAATATTATTATGCATCATTCGAACTGCTTTCCCTATGACTTGACTTTTAAAATTGATTCATGTCCCACCAGTCCATGTTCATACTAAAGTTCTCCCCCATCGGTCCGAGATTCTCCCAAGGTCCCCAGGCCAAATCATGCGTAGTCACATGTTCATTACTATCCCCATGCTGGGCCGTAACCGCCCCATTCTCTCCTGTCTCTTGTGGGTTTGTATCTATCCTTTCAGATACCCAAGCTGGAGGTGACGCATATTGAGCTGTTGACTCACGCATATCTGTTGGCGGTGAACTAGCCTCTGACCCTGGTAGGCCATCTTCGTCTTGAGTAGCTGCATGACCACCCCAGACATCTCGGCCGTGAACGCTTTGATCATGGTAGTTGGGAAATTGCGGCGCCGCTACATCCAGCAACACCCAGATGAGGGATGTTCTCACAACGGCTGGTGACGATTTGTCAGTCGCCATTTGAGTTGGTCGATCGGTTGACTCGATGAACTGATCCAGAGTATGTTCCTGACATAGACGTTAGTGATCAATAGAAGGCATTGAAAGTGGACGGCATACAATTGTCTTGCATACTGGCCAACATGTTGCCATCTCCCTCACAAGATTCCTGCAAACTTCTAGATTCCGCACAGAAGACGCCTGCAATTGGCTATCATTCGTCATTGTCCAGTATAGATGCAGCGTACTGGCGATGGCCGCTGCCTGGGCAAAGAAAGGATCAGCCAGTCGGAGGTTCTTCTCCTCCGCTGTTCGAATCAATCTCGAGACCCAAGTACAGTGTCTTAAGGCTTTCAGATAAGATGCTCTCCAGAATGAGTCACCTCCCAGTCTACTCGTTGGTGTTTCAGCCATGACCGTATATAGTGATGGGTGATTGAGGACGCAGTGAATGGTATGGTAGGTCATCTGAACCCTGAGCCACGGCAGCCAGTCCATACGGTTGTTTTCTACCTCCAGGGGAGAATGCTCTGGGAATTTTGTTGCGTTATAACTCAGGGAAATTGGCCATATCATCTCAACCTCTAGCATTCGCGAACAAAGTCTGGTGTAGTCGGAATCCGGATGCCAGGGACGCTTGGCCAGGCCTTCAAAGCACTTGGCTACATAAAGCCTAACTTCACTCCAAAGCTCGCAAATCTTTAGGGACTGAGACCAAACGTCAACAAGAGTCTCTCTCAAGCCGGAGCCTGTGGCTTTGGGGGCTGGAATGCAACTTCCTAGAGAATCTCGGGTTTCGACTGTGAGCATTTGAGGAGCGTTGATACTTGTTGGTATAGACGGTAACAGGACTGGCCTACCGCAGGAAGAGCTTAAGCACTGGATACTCCAGAATAGTCGGGATTTGTCTTGCGAAACTACTGAGCCACTCGTGTTACGGTCACTGCCGGGAAGAAGTTGTATCATGTTCTGAACCGTTGCTATGTCGAAGCCAGCCAGGGGGGTATTGCCTACTACGACAGTGTTAGTGAATTGCAACGCGATATCATAAGAGAGCGAAAATGAACATACAGATGAAGTTGTAGTATGCTAACAGGCACAGCGCCTGAGCACATCTGATAGTCACTCTGCCCTCCGCAATCTTAAGCATGACGCCCCTCCGGGCAATTTTGTTATAAGAGTCAGGGCTTTGAAGGCTATCCACAGGCATATCTTCCGTATTATGAGTCATACTTAGAGCCAACATGGCATAGATTAATTCCTCGGATGTATCGGACGGTAATAACGGGCGCTCGCCGAAAAGCCAAAGAGGTTGTCGATGAATATGGCGAAAGTAAAAGTCAATGGCTCTTGTAGTGACTTCCGTTGGTATTGAAGATCTTTCCTTTATCAGCAATTATGACCATGGCTCAGACGGAAGAAGTTACATTAATGGAAGGGTCGTGTGAGGCGAGGTTGATGAGAATGAAGGTATACGGTTATTCCTGTCTGACGTCGAGGTCGGGGTAGTCTCTTGCAATGATGAAGGACTACATATCGTCAGTGAATATGGCCTTGCTGCACGAGCGAAAGTACTATTCAACGTACACAACTCTGCTTATTAAGCTGTCCAACTTATCTTCGAGTTGTTCAAGGCGACTGGACTGCAGCTCTTAGTCAGAAATATGAGATACTCAGATGAGGAGCCTTACCATGCGATTTTCCAGTCTACTCGTTGTATCCTCATTTACAGGGTTGACCTCGGTGAATGAGCATTGTTGACGAAGACGTGTACATGCTGAACATCGTGGTCTTTCACCTGGGCAACGGATCTTCTTGCGCCTGTAACCTCATCAGCGATCATATTCCATCACTGAAATGGGCATAAATGTACCGGCAATTGTCACACGCTTGAGCAACGCGTCGATACTGCCTTGATCGGGGGGCACTCATTCTGTGTGTTTATTGATGTGATTGATATGGCTTGTGCAGAGACTGGTAATATTCAGAGTGGGTGCAGATAATGTAGTCTATGCTACTGGGCCTGGGCCTCGAGTCAAAAGTGCGGGGGTAAAGCCACTGAGAGTACGGAGTAGGAAGCCACTAGCTCGGCCTGCTTAAAATTCCGGGCCTTGTCTTATCGGGCACCTAATTTTGCGATAAGAGACAGTGGCTTGCAACGGCGTATACCTTGTTTTTCATGGCCTCAACTGAGGAAGTGTGACTGTATGGCGCGGTAAACTCTTTTAAGCGACTAATTATTCCTGAGGTAGTTTTCATTGAGTTGATTGACGGGCGGTGTTATCAATAGACAGGCACGACAGTGCTGCCTCACGCAAGTTGACCAAGCGATTGCTTCTTTAAACGATATTAGCAAACTGCATAAATAATCGTGGACCAAGTAGTGCAAGCTGTCTACAATTCTTACGACCTTCTGTCAACAATTAGACCATTTGGAGTTCATAGTGATATTTTATTAATGCTGCTAGATGCTCTGCTTCTACAACTTGCTATCTGCCCCTACCCTAGGGATGCCAAAGTTGGAGATATCCTCCTTTGTCTCACCATCTATCGCGAGCTCAGCCAATACACGACCAATCGCTGGGGCAAACTTGAACGCATGACCTCCACCCAAGCCAACGATAACATTAGGATGACTTTTCAACGGGCTGATAACGAATTGACGATCGGGCGTAATAGCATACTGACAGGTGACTGTTCGAATGGACTGGCCCTTGTCGGGTATCAGACCGCCCATAAAAGACGTCAATTCGTTGAGTAGGTCATCAGATGGAACAAAGGTTCGTTCTTCGGGTGTCATGAAGTTGTTGGAAGTATCACGACCTGCCTTGATTGTTGGCTCACCGTAACTGGGGAACCCGTAGAAATATCTGTTGCCAGCCCAGATCCACACAGGAAACTTGGTATCGTCGAATGGGGTCAAGTCAGTCGGTTTATAGTAGGTGACCTGTTCTTGCATGACCTGGAGCGGGATGTTTGTGCCGAGCGGTGCGATAAGCTTGTTGGTCCACGCGTCGCATGCCAAGATGACCTTGTCGGCGTGGAATTGACCTCGAGATGTTTTGATAGTCATGCCCTTTCCTTTTGAATCTGGGATCAACGCGTCCACGCGTGTCTTTTCCTTTAAAACAGCGCCGTTGGCACGAGCTTGATACTGCATTGCCGCCACAGACTTGGACGCATGTACGATTCCAGAGTCGGCGGTGTAAATCGTCTGCACGCCCTCTGCGATATCAAAAGAAGGCCAGCGCTGCTTGACTTGCTGAGAGCTGAGGACCTCGTACGGGATATTGTTTGCATCAAGACTCCTCATAAATTCAGACGCACTCATGCTCTTTTCGAACTTGTTCAGAGATGCTCCGTCGTCGGCTAGTTTGGGGAAGAAGACAACGCCTCCGGTGATGGTGAGCATTTGTAGACCACTTCGACGTTCCAGCTCAGCCCAGTCTTTGTAAGCTGCACGGGCTAGAGCCACATAATCTGGCGAGCCATAGGATGTCCTGACGATACGAGATGTGTCGTGTGAGGATCCGTAGATGTTGCCAAAGTCGTATTGCTCGAAACCGATAACAGTAGCTCCTTTGATAGCGGCTTGATAGGCTGCGGCGCTACCAAGAGCACCGAGGCCAACTACGGCCACTTGGAAGTTGCTGTTTGACATTGTAGAGAGTCTGACGAGAGAGAGGGATTAAGAGATAATCCAATGATTGCTGGGGGATAATGGGAAGTTGAATTGGCCTGCTAATCTCATACTCTTGTCACAATGCCCTTCCTTATAATCGTGTCTAGGTCGATGTAGCATGAACCTTACCTTATCTTATCAAGCCAGTTCCTCAATTTGCGGGGTGCATCAGGTCATGAGATAAGTTGCCTGTATCCGTACCCACTTGCGTTACGGAATTTCCGTCCCCACCACGGATTCTCACGGATTCTGTAGCCGAGACCCAACTGAGAGTCTGGGCCAACAAGACAAGACATCTCTGTGGGTAAGCCTGTGGCCATCACCAATGCAAAGCAGGCTACAGAATCTGTCACAAGAAGATGCTCCCGTACATTTCACATATATTTCTCTGCTGGTAGAGTGTGAAGACAATAGCGATGATGCGCCTCTCAACAGGTGGTCGGTGCATAGCTTGCCTGGACGGTCTTTCAAAGGGATCAACCGGGTAGCACGTTCAGCCTCATGAGACCACCCTCGATCAATTAATACAAAGACAAGATGCGCTGTTGCTTTCAAACCTCCTTTCAAGGGACACATGAGCCGGTGAATCTCCCGATGAATTGCGGCAGTGGTACTCTCTGGATATAACACGGCAATAAGAGTCTACATGCTTGGCGGCAACGGCACCTCGGGGGGGCAAAGAGCGGCAACAACACCAGGTGTTACACAGCGGCAGCAATACCATTGGGCGCCGCGGTTGATGTATCCTTGAGAGCAAAGAGGGGTTAAAAGGTTACACGATGACGAGCCGAGGGAGCGTCAACATTATTTCTGTCAGCATCTGTGAGGAGTAGTCTCGGAAACATTCCAGTTTTCAACCCCAGTCACAGGTGTTGAATTTCACATAAAGCTCGACTCACCGTTCTTATTCAGTTGAAGATAAAGACGATTCCGTTATTATACATCTCTTCTTCCGTCAAGCGCTTTCATTATGGGGATAAACTCGTCAAACCCAGCTCATGAGCCCGCGATCATCCCATCGCAGACAATGGATAATATACCAGTCCTGGATCAAAAGCCCACTGCAGACACGGTGGTAAACGGATCCACTGCTCATGCAAATGGCACGTTCACTTGCAAGGATGCTCCAGTCGAGAACCAACGCCCTCTCAAGGTCCGTGTGATTGGCGCTGGGTATTCAGGAGTCTACCTCGGCATCAGAATCCCACAACGTCTGCGCAACATTGATCTCAAGATTTACGAGAAGAACGAAGGTGTTGGAGGAACGTGGTGGGAGAATCGGTATCCAGGTTGCGCCTGTGATATCCCATGTAAGCAAAAGAACTTCACATGGGATTGCAAGCTGCTGACATTCCTGCCCATAGCTCATTCTTATCAGTACACCTTTGCCCCAAACAAGGCTTGGTCAGGCTTTTATGCGCCTTCACACGAGATTTGCGCCTACATCGACGGCGTGGCAGAGAAATACGGTGCCAAGCGCTTCATTCATCTCGGACATAGAGTAACCAGCGCTACTTGGAATGATACCGCCAAGAAATGGTATTTCTTACATAGCCTTATCTCGACCAAATGCTGACATCACCAGGCACATCACGGTTGAGACCAACGCTGGAGAGAGCTTCGCCGAGGAAGTAGACGTCGTTGTTGCAGCTAGAGGTAACCTCAACACAATCTCTTGGCCTGACATTCCTGGCTTTGATTCCTTCAAGGGGCAAAAGATGCATTCGGCGGCCTGGGACCAGGAGTATGATTTTAAGAATAAGAATATCGGTGTCATCGGTGGTGGCTCGAGCTCGATTCAGATCGTCCCGGAGCTGCAAAAGGTCGAGGGTGCCAAGTTGAACTGCTTTGTTCGCAGCAAGGTCTGGATATCGAACCGCTTTGGCGATGTGACGATGAAGCAATTGGGATGGGATCCTTCTGACATTGAATGTGAGTCCTCGAAACTGACTTGAGCGTAACTGCATTGTCTAACATATGAGCAGTCTCGGCCGCTCGTTTGGCAGAGTTCGTCAAGAGTGATGACGAGTATCTCCGCTTTCGTAAGCGCATTGAGGACGACGGCAACTTGGTCCATCTTTCAACCCTCAAAGACTCAGAGATGCAGAAAGAGTTTGTCGCCATGTTCTCAAAGATCACCAACGATGTTCTTGCTTCACGACCCGATCTTCTCGAATCATTCTCACCAACCTTTGGTGTTGGATGTCGTCGTTTAACACCAGGACCAGGTTATCTCGAGGCGTTATCTCAGCCCAACGTCAACTTCATCACACAGGGTATCGAGAGTATCAACGAGAGGGGCCTGAAGCTCACCGGACCCGGAGGGCGACAAATCGATGTTGATGTTTTGGTCTGTGCAACGGGCTTCCAGACTAACTACACCCCTCCTTTCCCTGTCGTCGGTAGGCAGGGAGTAACGTTGAAGGACAAGTTCGATCCGTTCCCTGCGACGTATCTGACCATGACGGTGGATGGTTTCCCCAACTACTTTATGATGCTTGGACCCAACTCAGCCATTGGCGCGGGCTCTCTGACCTGTCTTCTCGAGGCAGAAGGCGATTACATCGTTAAGTGCATCCGCAAGCTGCAGAAGGAAGATTACATAACCATGGAGCCCAAAGCATCACGCGTCCAAGACTTTGCAGACTACATTGGGGAGTACTTTAAGAAGACTGTCTACATGGACGACTGTAAGTCATGGTACAAGATTGGGGGCGGACATGGTGACAAGATCTCTGCTCTTTGGCCCGGAAGTGTGATGCATGCACTAGAGGCGATGAGGGCGCCAAGATGGGAGGACTTTGGGTTTGAGGAGATACATGAGAATAGACTTAGATGGCTGGGTAATGGGTGGAGTATGTGTGTTATGGAGGAGGAGGAGCAGGGTGACCCGAGTTGGTACGTGAACCCAGATGTAGTGGATGTGCCGCCTGAAGGGAAACCAGAGAGGGATCCCAAATACCTGGCCAGGCCATTCTCTTACTGATAGAATTGCCCTTTTCTCGATGAATTTACCACAAGAGAGTTACAGATAAATAATTCTTTGCTCAGAAGATGATATTTGTTGCTTACATCTAGCTTGCCAGTCTGAAGTACCATGAGGAAAACTAGGGGAGGAAAGTAAAGTCAAGACCTTGACCCTGAGGGATGAAAGATTTAGTTAAAATTAGCCTAAAACTATGGTACTCTTTGCTAAGTTTATTTCAACACCCTGTATCAAGGTACGATGTTTTCTTACTCCCTGAGGGAAAACACTGGAATAACAATAACCCTCGTTGATTAAGGAAGTCGTCTGTTGACTCCACATCCGTGATTTACATCTCTCTCAGTCAACCTTCGATTCATTGTATAGCTTCTCTAGGGGTCCTACAACAAACTGATAAAACTCTGCTCTGAAGTCCTTCCTTGTAAAATCCGGAGGCGAATGGAAGCCACAGCGCAAACGTCGATCAACCACTGCATTCCACTCAAGTGTATTGTTGAGTGCGACAGCCTTTGAAAGTCTCTCTGCTGTATTGAAGTCTGTCAATTCCTCCGTGATCCTATGGTCGTCAACTTCTTCTTGTGCCTCTAGTGTTGCTACAGTAGAGAGCTCAACCAAAGTCGCCCTGAGTCGAAATATTGCTTCATTTCGAATGACCATCTGGCGAGTAGTAGTCTTGCTAGGTTGAGATACTTTCGTAATGGTGAATGAGGGGAAATTCTGCATGACGAAGGTGCAATCTTTAAAAGACATCTTCGAGTTCTGGTAAGATAAGTATATCGTCAGTGGACCACCAATCTCCCAGCCATGAAGTTGCATGTAGTTTAAGAAGGGAAGAAGCTAACAGGAGGGCCAGCTCGTATCTGTCGGTTACCACGCTGCCAAAGTTATAGTGCATACCCAGTTTCCCCTTGTTCGAGAGGAAGTTGTAAAGAGTGAGTGTGTTCCTGGGTCTTCCTGAGGTGAGAGAGCGCTCCGGAATATAAATGTAGTGTTTGTGCTCCTCTTGAAGCATATATCCTATGCAACGCAATGCTAGCTGGCATGAATGTTGCGTGAGCTCCTTGCAGAAATCGTTGATATGCTTCTCCACCTTGGGACTAGGTGAAGCAATTGTACCTACTGAGGCGAAAGCAACACCTCCGGGAGATCGAGGGAGATTTACTGGGAGACTTTCACTCTCAACTGCTTCAAACTCTGCATTCTTCCAAACAGCACTTTTAACGGATTGTCCGTTATCACCTGTTTCAGGCGTCTTGAACGACAACTTGAACCTATGAGATCCCTTCTTTTCAGTCGCTCGATCTTCGAGCTGGAAATGTGTAACGTGAGAATCCACGCAGCAGCACGGCCATCCGGAACAAAGGGCGCTGTGAAGACTCACGGCTGCGTGCCTGATAGAATCCCAGTAACTCAGATCTGCCTTCTTCGGCTGAAGGGGTGCTGTTTGTGCCAGCGCCAATATTCCTGGTGTCATCTGCTCCAACCTTGTGTTGTACTTTTCGATATCTTCGAGCAGTTGCTTGTGCTTGCTGTGTTTTATGCATTCATTAATCTTATACCATGTTTTCTGGTTCTCGTATTCTGTCTTCTCGTACCATTGCTAGGATAACTGTCAGTGAGCCTATTATGAGATACACCTGCCAATTCCTACCTGTTGCTTGCTCATGCCTACTACGTTCCCCAACTTTTCAAGCTTCTCCTGGATATGTTTTATTATCTCGGTGTATGCATAGTAGCGATGTCCAAGCTTCTCTCTGAGGCTCCTCTCAAGCCCTTGAGTTAACGCCTTCTCCCAATCCTCCTTAGTAGTCTTGTCTAAAAGGTCTTCCAGATCTTCATCTTCAACCAAACCTCTCAACAACACACTGCAAGAGTGTCGGAATCGTGAATGCTCAGCATGTAGCGATACGATAAGATCATTCATGGCGATTTTATGATGCATGAGTACCTGTGCATCATTCTCGTAGAACTTTAGACCTTTGACGACAATTGGTATTCTATGCGTGGCCGTTAGTAGTGTTCGCGGCACTATTTTGGCATACTTGCACTCCAATAATAAGTCCTACTACTTCGAATCCAGACATTTCTATAGCTGTCCTGTAGCGCAAAAACGCGTGTGACAGAGAAGTTGGTACTTATTGCGTCGCGGATAAGAGAAAGATGGGATGAGGTAAAATTTAATGTGCGCTTTGCAGCGTCTGGTTATGGTAGCCGGGGGGTTGAAAGACGAATCGGGGACCTTCGATTGCGAGGATTGAAGCGCTGTGGCGTCCTGCAGCGTCTCGTGTCGCAGAATGATTGGTGTTGGTTAGCTGTTTGTTGGTTCCAGTATTGATTACCTGCATATGTTGCCAAAACTGGCGATTGCACAGTCAGCCCCTCTCTTTAGAAAGTAGCTTTGATAGCATGAGGCATTTCCTTTTCACTCAATTTACTGTCGTGTGTCTTTCGCAGAAATGACTACTATTGGCGATTGTTATATCTAGTGCTCTGGTTCTTTCAGCTGTCTGATCAAGAGCCTCGGTATATCAACTAGTGATAACAATAACCGAATACCTCTGAAAGGTATCGCAAATGAATACTCGCGCTTCGATGTGTGGGCTGGAAGTGTCGGGGCAAAACATGCCCCCCACAAGCGAATCTCACTTGACTATCGCCTCAGAGATTCTAGCTTCTATGCTGCCCGAGTTGTAGATATACTGCAGCGCCTTGATATTGCTCTCAGCACTGGTACGACTATTCTATGGCTCATCTGATACTTCTAAACTAATAGTCGGTAGCCTCCGATCTTAAAATTGGCGAACGGCCGTTGGTCGAGGCAACCCAGCCCAGGTTTGAACGACAACGAGACAATGACTCAGACCGATCGTCCGTAACATCGTCAGCTGAAAGCTCTAGTTCTGACGAAGCCGATATGATGACTTATGAGCGCCAAATTGCTGCATTATACGAGTCGATCACAAAGTCAGTGAGGCATCTGTACTCGCTCGCGATGGTCATCAGGCAGCCAGTAGCAACCGACCGATTATCCAGAGCGTCCAAGATCACAGTCGATCATTTCATTTCGTTTGATCAACGGCATTTCGATGAATGCTTTCCTGACACTTCCCTGGTGCTGAAGAAACGGCTTGCTAAGGCAATTACTCGTCGCCGTCAGTTGCTCATATATAATGAGCAACACTACCGGAAGTCTTCAGAACCTCAGCCGTCAGAAGAGACGACAGCAACAGGTCATATCACTCAAAATGAGCCCCGGGAAAAAGCTGAACAGGAAATGCCACCCCCTCCGGTTACCTCCGATCCCATACAGCATCTGGTCAGAGACAGACCAAGCTATGCCCCTACCATCTCCAAAGGAAGTCTGCTGGCGAGTACCGAAGCGACCAAATTCATTCCTCCAGTCGATATGAGAGAAGAGCCAGATGTTCAGTCAGAATCCGGAACTATTACGACCTTTGGATTCACCGGTAAGGATAGTGTAGGGATCCGAGTACCTCCTCGCCCGCAGGACGACAATGGCGAAGCACTGGAGCAGTTCCTCTGTCCCCTCTGCTATCATCTGATTGAAGTGAAAGGCGAAAGAGCATGGACGTCGGTAAATATTTCGAAGCTCTGTAATGGGATTTCTCACACGGTATAGGAGACACGTATTCCGCGATCTTCAAGCATATGTGTGCACTTTCGATAACTGCGAAACACCTGATAACTTATTCGAAACCCGAAAGGACTGGTTGAGACACGAATTCGAGAATCATCGCAGAGAATGGCACTGTAATGACCCGGAACACAAACCCTTCAACAGTGAGACGGAGTTCATTGAACATATCAAAGCCCTCCATGAGCCACAGCTTCTAGGTCCCCAGCTTTTTTCTTGCCCAGTTGTGTGAGCGATCTAGCTCGGCCGATGCTGTACCTTGCCCTTTGTGTAGAGATGGGTGCCATGACGTTGTAAATGGATTTGAGTGCAATAAACCTTCGTGGATCATGCGACAGGCTGCTGATTACACTGGTCCAGAATCGTTTGAAAGTGGTAAATATCTAGAATTCTGCATCCAGAAATGACACTAAACCAATGTGCCTTTATAGCCAAGCTCCCCGAAAGACACTTCAACACGACTGCGGATAGCACTCTCACAAAGGTGACTCCCTGGCTAGTTTCGCTGCCGAACGACTTTGCAACGGATGGCAATCCGGCACCAGATTCCACAGAAAGGCCACACCACGCTCATCCTACCATAGGACATAGAGGACCTTGTTTCATCCTTTCCAGTGACTTGAAGCGTCACATCGGCTAACACTTGGAGCGACTAGCCCTGTTTGCACTCAATAGATCCAAGTTGATGCCCGAGGATGGAAACTCAGCTGATACGGGGGATGCAGTGGCAAGGTCTAAGTCAAGCTTTGAGTCATTGCAGTCTGCCAACAGTGTGGAAGGTGATGTATATCAGGGTCATGGCTACGACGTAGTCAGTTTCGCATCGAAGATGAATGTCACGCCTTTCCAATTGGTGTCATACGAGGCTCGGTACAAGCTCCAAATGATGGACCATGTCTATGTGAAACCTGAAGAAACTCGAAGCCTTATTCAAGAAACCCTCATCGAGATTGTCTTCACAGATCAAAGGCCTACAGGTGACCATTCAAACAGCAGGCACCGTTTCTTTTCACCAGAGGGCAGTCTGGAAGGTATTATCACGATGGGATCGGTGTTTTCGGCCATTTGCAACACAGGAGAAACACCAAACAGTATCGATCCAGAGACTTTCAAATACACAGTCATTTACACTGAAGCGATTGGCAAGAAGCTGTTTTCCATTTTACTTATGGGTGGCCTGGAAGGGAAAGGACTATGGCATGCCATGGACTTTTTCAACAAAAACAATATCTGTGATGAAAACTTGCCACTTGAGGAATCGGATCTCAGAAACTTGTCAAAGCATCTGTCCGAACTTGACAATGAAGACGATACTGATTCCACCGACGCCGATGATGTTCAGAAAAAGAAACCCAGCAACTCGGGAAGCGCGGAGCTCATCCACAACTTTTATAACAACTATCAGTGGAAGTTTTGTGCCCCAGTATTTTCGAGTGAAGAGACCCTTGAGGTCAGGGACCAAAATGAAAAGTGTATTCTCCCCTTCACGGAGAGGTGCACGAAGATAGATGAAGATTCTTATGGACAGGCAATCAGATACGAGATTCATCGGCGCCATCTTGTGCCAAATGACATGGTGAAAGCAAGACTCGCAACCTTTTGCTTTGATCGGGATCTAACGACTGAGACTCATAAGACTCAGAACCCATTCTACGTTATTGTCATACGCCTATCTTTCGAGCCAATGTGGCAGGATGAACTGGGCAAACTGAAAAGAATCCAGGCACTAAACCAAAGACACATCGTCAAACTCATTACCACGTTTCGTCAAGGGGAAGATGACTTTTATTTCGTTTCCGAAGCATCTGATGGCGGGAACCTGAGAGACTTCTGGCAGACATTCCCACGAGTTTTGACTGCTCGCTTGGTAAGATCTGTGACCGAGCAATTTTATGAGTTAGTGTATGCTTCTTTTGAAGTAGGGCTGACGACAGCACTCATCGAAAAGAATACACTTGTAAGCAATGATAATCTGAGCCCAGAAAATATACTCTGGCTCAAGGAGGGGAATGGGGCGGATCACAAAGTCGGCACCATGAAGACCTGTCATCAGTCATGGGTTACCCAACTCGTATCACAAGATTCCCCATCAGTAAAACTATATAAGCAACCTGGAGAGGAATCGTGTATGTACTTCACGAGGGTCTCGTCAGATGACATGTGGGCTATGGGACGCATTATGCTCGAGTTCATGGTCTGGCGTTTGTACGGCTGTGAAGGTTTGAACAAATTCCACCACGATATGAAGTCAGGACTTCCCGAGCCGGACTCTAACAGGTACTTTTGGCAGTCCAGTCCTAATGGATTTAGGGTTCACCCTGTTGTGCTAGGGTGGATGGACCACCTGGCTAAGGACCCCGTATGCAGAGTACGAGAGACCGCTCTGGGAGACCTCCTGGATTTCACTAGGGATCGTCTTCTCGTAGTCAACGTGGTTTCTTGGCCCGATCCAAGACCAATAGACTACGAAGATCACGTTAGTCCAACACACAAAGGACTTAGTTATGAATAACCTGTTGACAATACTAACTTACTTCAGAAACCGACAGATAAGCCTGTTGCCAAGACGTATTCTGACCTCTGGAACAAACACCGGGGGTTGATTACAAAACTATACGTTTAAGAGAATAAACGGATTGAGGATATACAAGAGATTATGGAAACGGTTCACAACTTCGAAGCCTCCAACGGCAACTATAAACGGCAGCTTGACAAATGGTTATTTGGGAAAGGTTGTCTGAGTCTGAGCAGAGAAGTAGTGGAGCAACCAGAAGCAAGGCTGTGGAACTCGGAATCAATCAAGCGCCCTCGGGCACGGCCGAAGGAGGTCTGCGACTTCCGGTATCGGATTCTATCTGGGACCAAAAGTGAGAGCTACTGGCTGCCATGCCCCCCCTACCACTACCCGATTTAAGCCCTCAAAATGACTAAGAAGGATATTAATACATGCATTATATTACAAAGTTTACTTTACATAGTGCCGTCTTAGAAATAGAATGTCTAATGTATTTCCTAAGTAAGCCTTACCTTATAAGACTAAAAATAAATATTTTTAGAGATAGACTTTTTAGTAAAATCTTATAAAGCAGGACCAGGCAGTAAAAAGATTCTTCTAGCTATTCTAAATAGCAATAGTAGCCAATAATAGAAAGCTATTTTATAATAGTAGGGGGGTTAAATGGCAAGTTGGTAACCTTCGGTTGTGAGAATGGAAGCGCTGTAACGCCCTACAGCCTCCCGTCGCACATAATGATCAGTGTTGGTCAGGTATCTGTTGGTTCTAACATTGATCACTTGGAAGGAGACCACCAAGGAGAAAAAAGACAATGGAGCTCCCAAGCGGCCTTCGGGCCAAATGCCTTTTAACACTTGGGCAACGCCCACCCGCTGCCATTTAAACATCTCCAACGAGAGCGGTGCAAGTGCTGGACACAGCAATACTACAAGCAACAAGAACCCCTCTGTCGCAATCTGAGCAAGATATCGATGCGCCTGGCCTACTCTCCGCCCCTTACCCCTTCGATGGTCGCGAACAAAGTTCCCTGCTCATATCAACCTATCCCTTTCAAGTTTTAAAAATGGTATCTACGAAATTTTAAAGCGTTATAGTATCGATTTGTAAGACCAAAGTCGAGTTTTATATAAGAGAATAACAGTGCTTCTAAACTACAGCTCTCCCCATATTGCTCGCCATCTCCCAGTGGTCTGAAGCACTCCGAGGTACTTTGAAGTCGATTACCGAAGCCATTGCCATGTCCACCAGTCCTGACACTGGAACAAAGGTAAAGGGATATAATAAAACTTAAAACCTATATCCTAAGTAATAAAAAGCCTTAGGTAAACTTAGGTAAGCTTAGGTAAATTTGAGTAAATTTAAGTAAATTTAGTGTAAGCTTAGAATATCTTTAAATTAATACTTAGTATAATTAGTACCTTAATTTAATGTTAGAAGTCTTCTTGTATTGTATAAAAGTGTTAAGGAGGGGAAGGTATTGGGCAAATCGTATACGTTTCTCTTGCTCCTCTTGGCCAGGGAATATGTTTATAGGCCGTAGTGGAACAGAGTGATTGTTGTCATTTTACCCTTGGTTGCTACGAACTGCTCGAGTTTCTCGTATACGTGCGCGCGAATCTTGTCCCATGGCCGTGGTAACTTTGGCTGATCCTGGACAGGTTGTAATAGCTCTGGTGCAATCATCTCCAATTTTATTCTAGCGTCGGGGAGGCCATCGTCTTTGTTCTCCATGGTGGTTTGCCGAATTGATTCATGAAGAAGGAGTATAGCAAAAGTGATATCAGGTGAAAGCGTGCGTTCAGGCGACCCTGGATCTCACAGGAACTTTATTGCGACTACGTGGTAGGATCGAGTAATAAATCTGGTAAGTTACGTGTGTGAAGTTGTTAATGATGCAGGAGAAAAGAGAGGATAGAAAATTAAAAAGGAGAAAGGACGAAGTTGATATTGATAGGTCCTAGCCTGTGCAGGCAATTACTTTGTCAGTGATTAAGAAGTGCGCATTTATCAAGACTCGTTGCCAGTGACAGTATCAGTCTTTTGATTAGACTTCTTACAAAAGGCTTACAGCAGAGGCCACTATAGAAACAATTTTCTACCAATCAAACAGCCATCCTATAAGTGTCTGTGTCCCTAACTATGCCCTTGCGGAGTAAGCACCCCAAGCCTGGGTAAGATTATCAAGACCTATCTCTGACCAAAGACGTTGCACTTCCTCGGATGGCTCGGCCGTAGTCTTGAGACTATTTACCGATTCCTGGTTCTCTGTCAGTGCTCCATATACTCTCAGATCCTTGGAAGCATGGAACTCAGCCCAAGGCTCCTCTAAGTTTGTGAAACTAATCACATCTCGAGCAAAGTCCGTCGCTGTCTTCCTCTGGGATTCATCCATGACATGATTGTAGTTTAAGAATAGATAGGCTATATCAAGACAGTGAGCTGATCGACCTTTGTGCGGTCCGTCCCATGGATTAGACTCGTTAAAGTAATAGAGCCAGGACTGATATGGCCAGAAGTTGGCGTAGTGTCTTGATGTGGCGAAGTACTTGAGATCTGTCCCGAACTGGAGAATCTTGATCCGTGCTTTGTCGTCTTCCTCTGCTTCTGATATTCCATAGAGGTCGAGTAGTCTCTCTAGTCTAACGTGGTGTTCTTCGGGGATGGCCTTCATCAAAGATGTAGTGAAACCTTGTGCTAATCCCGGATCTCGGTCTGCAAAGAGACCAAGAACTTCAAAGACGACCGCATCAAAGTCTGTCGAGCCAATCATTAGAGGAGGCCTGTGTTGAGCTGAAGGCAACTGAGTCTCGAGTGATCGGAATGATGGTAGTTGGTCTGTCTCTACTACAGGTTGTAGGGGGACTGACATCGGAATCTTGGATAGCATATCCTCCGGAGAGATTGCAAGCAATGCTGTCAGCTGATCCTCGCTCGATAATGTGGGTTCTATTCCGAGACACTGAAGCACACCTTTATATGCATCTTGGGCAGCGTGCTTTGTAGATGACGGAACGGCCAAGTTGTTTCCACTCAAGCAGATAGCGCGATCGAAAAGCGCTTCGTCCCGTAAATCCAGGTCAAGGAGATGCATAATGGAGCCTAACATCAATCATCAGCTTACATGTCTGCAAAAGCCTTTCTGCCATGAACACTTACTACCACCTGCGCTCTGACCGATGGCTGTGATTCGAGTTGGATCGCCTGAAAATCCGCCAATATTCCGACGAACCCATTGAAACGCCGTCTTTTGATCAAGAATGCCTCTGTTGGGGGGGATGCCTGTCGCTCTCAACTCACTGCTATCCAGAAACCCTGCAACTCCAAGTCGATAACTTTTTTAATCAGTAACAGAGCTTCAAAATAACCCGTATCAAACAAGTCACATGAAAGGAGCTTACTTGATCGCTACGCCTATAATAGGCTTTCCGATGGACTGGGAATATGCGACGATGGCAGCCATATTATAGTGCGGAGCCCCGCTGTCACCTATGATGAAGGCTCCTCCATGGATAAAAACAAGCACCGGGAGCTTTGCATTGTTATCGTTGAGAGTCGCTTCTGGGACGGTGATATCGAGAGTCAAGCCGTCCAGGTCTGACATGGGACGGTCATCGGGCTTGTCGAGGGCCTTCTGGATGAGGCCAAACTCAATATCGCATGCTAGTGGTGGCCTAACAACAGTCGGGCTGTGGAGAGGAGGCACTATTAGCTCTCGTCAAGCTCGCAGATCTGGGGAAGAACTCACCCTCTCCTTGTCGCATCAATCTTTCCTCCGTAGTCGGTCTTGAGCTCTGGACCAGCAAAACGATGAGTTGGAGTGGCATACTGAATACCCAGATATTGCACGACTCCTCGATCATCTAACTTGAGGCCTTGGATATCACCCAATTGGGAATGGTTAAGCGTAAACGCCATGATTGGGGCAAAAAAGAGGGGAACGTGATATTATCAAATGTTTACAAATGGCGGAGCAAAGAGGAGAAGACTGCAACTGTAGCCGAAGGAGGGATTTTAGGACGTCAACGACATTCATGTAATGCAAAGTAACGAGTTCTGTCTTGTCATCGCTGGCCCGGGTCTTCCTTGTTACCCCAGATTTCTCCCCGCTATCTAGGCTATCCGATGGACCGAGCTGGGGCTATAGGTGCACTTGCCGCCAGATGATACCTCGAATTTCGCGTGGATGAAGATCATTACCCGGATCAGTAACTTGTCATGCATGTGTAAGCGAGAAACGAGGAGTTGACGGGAAATACCCGCTAACCCCGGGCCATGATGCAGTCTACCCGCTCGCTTCCCCGCACAAGATGCACATGCTGTTACCACTAACTCGCAAGCGTTAGAGTCTCGGCTCAGGGGACGGCAGATGCACCTGGACAATGTCCTTGATCCTCAATTCAATCCCCACTAAACATCTTCAACAAGCGGCAAGTGCATCACTACAACAAAGGTCCTCATCATGCCTCGTCCCAAAGTTCGCGCAGAAGATCGCAGACGCGCTGTCATAGCATGCGTGCCTTGCCAAAACAGCAAGAAGAGATGTGACTCGCAGACTCCATGCGCCAATTGCCGTCGGCGAGGCTACGTCTCCCATTGTATCTACGATCCCGAGGCTGCCCGCCCGCGTCGCAAAACGCAACGTCGAGCGATGAGCCGTAGCAGCGATATTACTGCCAGCGGCAACGATGATTGTTCCAGTCTCGATTACATTGTTTGTTCTGACGTGGCTTTGTCGATTAATGAAAGTGATACGCCTGAGCCGGTACAGGCACCTCAGACGCCAGAGTCTACAGCAGGACAACAGTCGAATGAGACCCCCGACACGGCGTTCACATCTTGCATGTCGAACGCGGGCGGTCAAGACAAGGGTTCGGACGGCGAAAACCGTGAGTAAATGATACCAGGGCATAACCATTTGAGTACCCATGGCTTACTGGGTTGCAGTATCCTTAAACGACTCCGCATCACTCTCTTTCCTCGATTTCTTACGTCACACGTTTCTCTGTTACATGGGGCCATCCCCGTTCACTGACAAAGAACGAGCCAAGGCTATGCTGGAGTCATCGTATCCTCAAGCCTCACACGATATCGCAGAGGACAGCCCAGACAGCCAGCTTACCTTGGAAGAGAAACGAGATTATATCCAGAGGTTCTTGGTAGCGGTACGGACGAGTCACCAATATGGCATATATCGGACTAACGCAGCATCTTAGACCACTGGCATTATATATATCTACTCCCCTAAGCAACTTTCCGAGTTACTCGAGGAGACTGAAGGGGACGGAACCTCTGGTTCATCCAAACCTTGTCAAAAACGCGCCATCATCGACTTGGTTATTGCAGTCGGCGGACAAGGTTGCAGAACGAGCCCCAAGACTCTTTATCACGCACAGAAGCATTTTGATCGTGGTCAAAAGGTAGCCTTTGAGGGTATGCTACTAGACCCTACAGGTGATCTGGTAGCTATCTTTCTACTGATGAGTATCTACATGGTGAATGCGTGCAAGAGAGACGGGGCTTTTATATATCTTGGTGTTGCTACGCGGGTGGCACATGCGATTGGTTTGCATCTACCCGAGTCGTATCGCAATATGACGCCAGAAACACACCGATTCAGGTAGGCGACCTTGGTAGTCTGAGCATCAATAGCGAGAAACTGACATACTTGTACCACCAGGCTTCAGGTATGGAAAAGCCTGCGCATCTTGGACATCGCGTTTGGAGCAGTCCTTGCACAAACGCCTGCGTCATCTCCGAGACGTGGAATTAGCAACCCCTCATTCTCAGTCCCAGATGGCCCAGAACCGTGCACGCCGGAATTCACGTCCATGTCAGCATGCTACGGAGTCTGCACCATTCTAGAACAGATTACGTATCACCTCAACAACAAACAAGACACGAATTTGACATCAATAAAAGAACTCCTTAGACAGCTCCGAGACTGGAGCTCAGCATTGCCGTCGAGCATGACGAATTGCACAGTCAGCTCACCCATGTCTCCAGAGCAGTGGTGGCAGACTTTGGGCAACTTTGCTGTCTCGGCCTTTTATTATTATGCCGTCATGTTGGCCACTAGACCAATCTTGATACAGTATATGCTGGGTAAATTAAAACGCCTAGAGCGGTCAGATGGTGCATTTGGGTCGCATCATGCAAGTGATAGAGAGACGAAGGAGTTGGCACAGGTCTGCATTGATGCGGCTATCTTGCTGGTAGAGACAACGCGGAGAACAGGGTCTGCCGGTCTGCTCATACAGAACATGACGCTACTCAAGTAAGAACTTGTCTTTTCTCCCGTTTCAACTCAATTCTAACGATGGATCAAGAGCTTGGATCTTTAGCGCCTGCCTCATCATGGCCTTTTCCCTCTTCGTAGAGGCCACGTTATCCGAAAGATCAACAACCTTCGAGACAGAGGCAGCACTACACAGCGGCATTGGAATTATCCGGGATCTAGATCGTACAAGTCCCCAAGCCCATCGTTACCTTGATGTCCTGACAGAGCTTCGCAACGCACTACAGAGCTACCGCGAGCGTCTCATTCCACCTCGGAGGAAGAGTAGCGGACAGTTCCTGAGCCAGATCTTTACACTTGACCAGGAGAAGAGCACACCGGCAGCGTCGGACCATGAAATGACAGGACTGGCCTCTGCGGTTGTACCGCCTGAGCTTGGTGACGAATCATCGGGAGGGTTGTTGATGCTGCAGCAGGTAACGGAAGCGACGCAGAACATGAACATTATGTGGCGTATACCAGATGAAAGTCAGGCATTTGTTGATGAATGTCTGCCCTTGGCAATAGGTGGATTGGATGTACACTGGAATGGGATATCGGTCCAGGGAACGGATAACTTCCTGTTCGATACAGAGCCATTTACAGAGATGCTGAGCCATTTCTAAGCGTTTTAATTATCATCTTATATTAATCTTACTTATACAAATGACTCAAACACCTGATTCTATTCAAAGCACTTATTCATCCCCAACCAAAATCTTGACGATCTCCGCAGGTGTATTCTTGGGCGCAGCAATCTCGAGGAACTCCTTACTTGTCGTGTCAACCCCGCATTTCCCCTGCCATGCAGTTTCTGCCGCATGCTTAATCGACAGGATAACATTCTTCGATTGCTGTGTCTGGGCTGCCATATGGTCAATGAAAGACATGTCCTTGAAGAGAACATGCTCAACTTTGGTGCCGATGTACTCCTCTACAAGATCGACGATTTCACGGCCAGTGATGTCCTCAGGCCCATTCAGGACATATTTAGCCTTGTTATGCGAATTGATGTCTTCTGTAGCAAGAAGGCGAGCTGCAAAGACTCCGACTTCGTTGGAATCGATGGGCCCAACGGCTGCATCCTCTGAAGCCATAAGCCTCAACGGCTCTTGCTTCCCGGTCTCGCGGAATGTCTTGATTAAACCGACAGCAGGACCAAGCCAAAATTGCGTAAACACGTTGGGCTGCAATGAAGTCCATTTGAGCTTCTCAAATTCGGGTGAGCTCAGCAAGGTCTCGATTGCCCAATGCGTCCTGGGATAGTAGGCAGGGCAATCAGGACGGACATTCGCAGCGGTCGTTGAGATACGCACGACATATTGAACGCCTGCGTGGAGAGCAGCGAGGTGGAATGTGGACTCTTCGGCAAAGTGATTGGGTTCGTTGTGTGAGGCGATGAAAGCTCTGACGACGTGGCGTTCTCGGAGCCATTCGGCGGTGATCTCGACCCAGTTCTGCTCAATGACCTCGACGTTTGGCAGGCGAGCTAGTTGTTGAGCAGCAGCTCCACTGGATGAACGCGTAAGAGCAAGAATTTTATAGCCTGAAAATGTCTTGTTGTCTTTGAGAAATTCCGACAAGGTTGTGACGACGGCTCGTCCGGTGTTGCCCGTGGCGCCGGCGACAAGAAATGTAGGGGACATCTTGATGAGAGAAGGATTAAAAGTAGCCAATTGGATGTTGCAATAAAAAAGAGAGTTGAATCAAAATTTATATTATAACTTCTGACTTTACGATTAGTATCAGCTAACGTTAAAGGTTCGGGCTGATTATTAAACAGACTCTATTATTAATGTAGAGTTGCGGACTCCGCCATTGTTAATATGGAGCTGCGGACTTTGCCATGGTTTGTCAATAATGGAGATACATGCCCACATGAACAACACTCCTTTCTATCCATCGCATGCTATGGCTGGTATCACTTGCTGGCAGTCTGCCCATAGTGAATGTGAACTTGAATTGGGGATGCTGTGATATTTATTGGAGGTGATATATGTTTTAGATATCCGACCATTGATCACCCTATTGGCGGATATTAGCACATGTCCATCCAAAAACACGTTGCAGAAGTGAAGCATAGTACTTACCGTCCCAAAGGCTTTTTGCCCGCGCCAGAACTCTTCCGTAAGAGGTCCAAACCACTCAGACATCGTCTTATCAATACCTTCCTCTGTGTCAAAGCCTCTTCCGCCAGCGACCAGAACAGACTTCCCACTCAAACACTTGTCAGTTGCCAGCTGAGTGATAAACTGCGCAACATCATTGGGCGCATTCAGTGGGAGATGATGCGTATCCCAGATCGAACGGACATTATCGATCATCTGCGTATCCGTCGCCCAGGGACACACGGCGTTGATGCGGATACAGTATTTGGCTGACGCCAGCGCCCGTAAGGATCGCATTAGCCCAATAATGCCATGCTTTGAAGCGCTGTAGGCGAAGAGACCAGCTGCTTCGGTTATTCCAGCGATAGAAGACAGCAAGACGATAGACTTGGAGAAGTCGCTTGACTTGGTTGGTTCTTTATCTGCCTTCATAAAAGCAATTGCTAATCGACAAAAGAGAACAACGCTCGTAAGGTTGATGTCGATAGTATTCTTGAGCGGCTGGGGTTCCGTCTCCACCGCTTGGAGGGTAAGTTGGTCAGGCCCAAACCAACCATTCGGCTCTATGACAGCAGCGCAGGAGATGGCAATATCGACATGACCTCTCTCTTCATAAGGGGTCTTGAAGAGCTGAAGTTGTTCGTTGTAGTTGCGGACGTCGAGCTTCTGGAAATGTACCGATCCGCTGCTCTGAGGCATACTTGACTGGATATGGCTAACCATTTGATGGCCCTTGACATCATCTAAGTCTCCGAAATAAACATGGGCGCCTCTCTCGTACAGCAGGGAGACTGTTGCTGCTCCAATTCCTTGGGCACCGCCTACCCTCACCACATATTAGTAAGTGTTATAAGGCGGAGTTTGTCGAACCTGGAAAGCTGGCATGGTGAATAATACCTGTCATGACAACCACCTTCCCCTTCACATTATCTGCGATATCTGAGGATAAGAATATCTCGGCCATGTTGGTTCAAACTTGCGCAGGTAGAGAGGAAGCAGTGCCAAGTAACTCTAGAGAAGAAGATCGGTTTTGAAAGGTCCGGCAGGCTGAACTAACCAGACCTAGAAATAACTAGTGGATGTATCTTTGTGGATGTTCTGTAGTAGGTGCGGTTGCCGACAGTGGGGAACCCCGGACATTCGGCACACCAGCGCGGCATCTACACCCACTTATCGGCACATTTCCGGACTTCCGAGCTAAATAAGAAGTATTCACTGTATCGGGCCGGAAAAAATGCAATTAGATACTTGACATCCGGTCCTAGATTCATCAAGTTCAGTTATCCAGTCCTTACATTCTCACTCCAACTTAGCTACTGTCCAAAATGTCGCCATCTGCTGATTCAACCACTAGAATGTCCTCTAACGATCAACACCTATCCATCGTTGTCACTGGCGGTGCAAGTGGTATTGGGTTGGCCATCACCCGTCACTTTGCTGCCCAAGGTCATATGGTGGCCGTTCTCGACGTCAACTCAAAGACAGGACCTGATGTTGTGGCAGAGGTAGCAGAAGCTCATCCCCAAGCGAAGTTGAGTTTCAAGTGGTGCGATGTTTCGTCATGGGAAGGACAATACGCGGTCTTTGATCAGGTCTATCGCGAACACGGAGACCGAATCGACATTGTCATTGCCAATGCAGGAATCTCTGATCCTGTAGTCGGAGCTCTCGATTGTACGCCGACAGAGTTTCCAAGGAAGCCGAACCTGAGAATGCAAGATATTAATCTGAACGGAGTGATCTACAGTCAGTTTACCGCTTCCTAGGCTCCTTACTGTTCACAAACTAACAGGCAACAACAACCTTAGGCGTTGGCCTTGCTGTGCATTACATGCTCAAGAATGAGATCGGAAGTCGTCTCCCGAACTCGCGAGGCTCCATTGTTTGCACATCATCATCCGCGGCCATCTATCCGTTCCCTGTTTCACCACTCTACTCCGCAGCCAAGTCTGGCATTATAGGACTGGTTCGTTCGATGGCTATCAGACTTGAAGAACCCAAGATACAGATCAACGCGCTTGCACCTGGAGTCTTGGGTGAGTTCACAGTCCCTAAACACCTGGGTCCTGCTAATACATGATACAGAAACAAACATCACGCCGGATAAGGAACTCTTCAAGGCCATGATAATCACGCCACTCTCAACTTTGACAAAGGCTGTTTCACAATTCGTGACTGACCCGTCTAGAACTGGGCAGGTGGCGGAACTGAATGAGGAGACTATTACACTGAGACCTCATGCGGATTATGCTGATGCTGGAGCGGAGCATAACAACAAGATGTTTTACAAATTAGGTCATGCATGAGATACTGTAATATTGACTGTATATTTAATTGCATTTACAGCATGATTTCGCCCAGAGTCGTGACTTGTCAGTTCTTTCTTGCTTGATCAAAGTGCCTTGCTACTAAAACGACCCAGTCGTGCTGAAACACCTGGCCTTTTCGTACCAACAGTTCGATGTGCTAGTGACACTACTCCCTTGAGTTCAGTTCCCGCTGCCGAATATTGAAACAGTATGCGAGCGGCAAAGGTACCAACCCACCCACGGTGTCCCTCCCGCCCCCGCACTTCCCCACGATCTGGATTTCAACACGACATGGCCAGAGCGAAAAATGCAACTTCAATGGAGCTAGAAACGTGTTACTACTGGTTAGCTCTATAGCTGTAACCCCAGATTCCTTGGCATGTCGATCTAGAATGTTGAGCCTGGAACTCTAATGACCATTAGTGTCGGCAGATGACCCGTGATTGCTGTCGACTTGAGGGGTCAACGATACCATTGGTTTACCAGGATCCGAAAAACGACACTGCTAATCCTGTCCGTGCTCTTTACCCCATGGATTGTGTTCACTCTTTGTCAGAACATCCCTGAATGATGTCGGCCAGATACCCCCGAAGTGATCTATAAGTTACCCAGGTCCTCCAATCTCTCCACATTTGGTTCATACTTCTCCATCTTGCCTTTCTCAGTCATATCACTGTCTATTCTTCCTAACTGCATACAAGATCTGACCTGACTATTCAAGATGGGTCTGGGCGTCCTTCCTGATCGTCACCTCTCCGATGTCCCTGGAACATCATTTCTCAATGAGAAGGGTGTCTCTTCGAGCTTAGAAGCGTCTACCGAGAAGAACCATGCCAGCCTCAAGCACGACCCAACCGGCAAAATCGTTCTTGTACCCCAGCCTTCCGACGACCCGAACGATCCTCTCAATTGGCCGAGATGGAAGAAGGAAATGTTCACTGTCTCCATCATCGTCGGCTGCGGCTGCGTCGGTGCCATAGGCCCTCTTCTCGGCCCAGCATTGGTGCCTATTGCCAAAGAATTCGATGTTCCGCTTCAGACCTTCTCCCTGGGGTTCACTGGAGCTCTCCTCATTACTTTGGCGTTCGGTAATCTCTTCTGTAACTCTCTGGCAATGATGATCGGCAAACGACCGGTTTACCTCATCACCGCAGTGGGCCTCCTCTGCTCAACTATATGGTCCGCCGTAGCCAAGGACTTTATCTCGCTCGCTCTCTCCCGAGCTGTCCAGGGCTTTTGCATGTCCCCAATGGAGGCTCTGGTTCCGGCATCGATCTCTGACATCTGGTTCGTTCATCAGAGAGGATTTCGGAACGCGGTTTTCAACTTGGGTGTCCTTGGTGGCATCAACCTTGCTTCACCTATTGGTTAGTCCTAGTCACCACCATTAATGTTTCATCGATACTGATATCTTGTTACTAGCGGGCACGATCATCGACAAATACGGCTACAAGACTTGTCTCTGGGCTATGGCTGGTGCATTTGGCCTTCAGCTTGTTCTCACCTTCTTCTTCATGCCAGAGACAGCTTACAAGCGTTCCATCGACTCGAGCATCCCAGCAGCAAGCTCTCAAGGAGAGGGTCCTTCTGCTGCCGCTGACAAGAAGCAGTTTGTATCCGAGGTTGAGAACACAGCTTCAGCTAGCGGCAATGCACCTACTCCAGAGCCACATTCATTCATTTATTCACTTCGGCCTTGGAGCGGTTATTACGATTCATCTGGATTCTGGTCTAGCATGTTTGCACCTTTCAGAATGCTTGCTTCGCCCGTGGTTATTTGGGGATGCTTCCAGTTGACCATTTGCATGAGCTGGTTGGTATTCCTGGCATCTACGTTCTCGCAGATCTTTACTGGACCTCCATACAACTTTTCAGTTACGCAGGTGGGGTTATCAAACCTGTCATCATTCGTTGGTACTTCTATCGCTACCGCGCTCGCTGGCGTCATGGTAGATGGACTGGCCACTTTTATGGCTAAAAGAAATGAGGGTATCTACGGTAAGTTACCCGTTACCCACTGACCAGAACATATTTGCTGACAGCTCATGGTTACAGAGCCTGAATTCCGTCTTCCAATCCTCGTTCTTCTGACTACATTTGGTGGCTGTGGCTTTTTCGGCTACGGCCAGAGCCTTTCAAACGCTGAGCCTTGGCCGATCCCTGTCATTGTCTGCTTGGGTATGATCGCCCTCGGAACCCAGTTCGGCATCGTCGGGGTCGTATCCTACGTAGTCGATTCTCATCGCCGTGAGGCTGTTGAAGCATACGCAATGATGAGTTTCGCCAAGAATGTCTTTGCCTTTGGCATGAGCTTCTATATGAACGACTGGGTTGCGATTCAAGGCGTGAGGAATGCTTTCTTTGTGATTGGCGGTATTACCATTGCCATCACCATGGCGACAATCCCGATGTATATCTACGGAAAGAGAGCACGAAGCTTTGCATATCGCCACGGGTTCCTTCTATAGTATTATTCTGGTTTACAAATTTATATTCATTCTTTGCTATTAATCAGCCATGGCCTAATTATTACTCACTGCCTAAGATGAACGCGTCCCTCAGTGCTAACATGGCTCAATCCCATATAACTGCCATCGGGCCAACTCTCGTTGTCAGATCAAGCTTTCCGAAACTGTAGTTTCCAACAATGCCATCAAGAAAGCCTGTCTTAAAGTCTCTTTTGAGGATAAAAAGGTCGTTGGTAACTTGGTTTGCAACCGCAACAAACTGATTGCGAGAATCAGGTGATAGTGAAAAGTGCCGAGGTATTTTACCATTGGTGCTATTGAGACCCATGAACTGCAGTGGCTTCTTCGAGTTCCCATCCAAAGAATATACAGCAATAGTATCCGCCTTATCAACTGACTCTGTGTTCCGGTTGGATACATACAAGAAGCGCTTGTCATGCGAAACAGAAAGTTCGGAAGCCAAATCGACGTTATTGGGCTTTGTACGCTTGGTTGAATCATCGAGAGTAGATGCCCTCTGCAGATAAGTTATACACAAGCTTTCATTTAGGCCAAGGTGCTTGCCGTAATGACCAGCGGGGCTATTTTCAAGTGAGAAAACATTAACAGTGTTATCGAGCTCGGAAACCAAAAACATGAGTGTCTTCTCTTTACTGACTTGAGAGAAGACAATGTGTCGTGGACCCGTACCCGGTAACAGTGTAATGGTTCGAATCTGTTCGACATGTTTCGCATCGCGTACCTGATATATGTAAACACGATCCGCGCCTCGGTCAGGGACAGCCATAATACTTCCGCAGGGACTAAAGACGGCGGCATGTGGATTGGCAATTTCTTGCGAATCTCCAGCTCCAGGGCCAGGATGTGTGAGGTTGTATTGACAGACGTTAGCAACGTGACCAAAGTTGCCAGGAGAAGTCAGTGGGAATATGAAGACTGTAGAGCCGTCGCTGAACCGCGAGTATGTCAGAAATATGAATCGCTGTTGTAAATGTATTGGCTCACTACTTACATATTGGCTGAAGATAGCGTTTTTCCGTCTCTCGAAATGTCAAGGTAGACCCCGCCATCGCCGTGAGATGCTACTGCGTCGTGTAGCTCAAGACAGCCATTAGGTAGCTTTCTGAAGGCGTAGATACCGCCGCTCGTAGACGAATTGTCAGGGAAGTGTGTTCTTGAGACCGAGTACAGATATTCACCCCTGCTGTGTAACCATCCTGGTTGATACCCTGCCTGTGTAGTACCGACTAGTTGAATGTTTCCGTTTCTAGGTCCAGAGGGATTAAAGGCTAATGTGAGTATACCTTGTTCTTGATGCGCGACGCGAAGAATACGGATTTGTGATTTTGCCCAAGCACTACTTGCAAGAAGCATAATAACGAAGACCGTAAGTGAAAACATGTTGTTTTTGGTGACAATCAGCATTTTGACTTTGATGCAGATTTGATGGAAACCATGAGTGGAAAACGATGGCTTTTGAGTCCTTGTGGCGACCTGCAGTGACTTATTTATGTCTTGAGCGTTGTCACAAAGTACACAAGATATGCTAAGCACAATCATTGCCTGGTATGATATAGTAAGCTTACGGCGCAGAGTAATAGGTTCAACGCCTGTTTTCAAGCCTCCTGGCTTAACAATCCATCAACCAGCCGCGTCAATGGTCCTACGGACTAATATCAATACCGCCGGATACTGTCGGGGTCAGCTCACAGTATAGCACCTAGCCCTTTTGAAAGCAGTGACTACACTCGGAATCCTACGGATACGGACTTGTAATGTTCCTTATCCGAACCACCTTCAATCGAAAAACTCGACTTGGTATGACAGGGTAAGCTTGACGTCGATACGTGTCTCTGTAATCCGAGGTGATTATTGAAGATTTATAGTAAATTTTTGATCTTTTGGTACATGGTGAGTTACTAGAATAGTCTTACTGCATGCATCGGTTAACGGGTAAGCAGAGGTTTATGATAGCTTGCGAAATGCAGGGAAATTTGTTTTTCCGTAGCCTTCGGTCAAACTATGGGCAGATTCTACGCTCTTTGTTATCTTATCTACCTCCCTGACTTTGGTGTTTGAGTTAGTAAGGATTATTGTATAAGTGAATTTACCTTGTCTGCCTTTCCGCATAAGCTCCGTTATGTGGCCAGGATCACAACATCAGAACAAAAGTCAGTGCTTCCCCTGCCACTTTGCTATGGACCCAACACTTCATGTTACGCCTTGAGAATCCGAAATTCGTGCATGTGGCGTCTGTGCATATCCGAACTGGTGCGTTGGCAGTTTCTGATTGACAGCCTGATTTGTAAATCTGCCTTGTCTGCCTCTTGGCATAAGCCCCAATGTGTAACCAGTACCAGAACAAAACTCCAGAATTCCCCTGCAACTTTACCCCGCAGGCTTTTTCGTCCTTCTTCCAGAACACATCAAATTCAATATGGGTGATCCATTATCTATTGCCAGCGGCGTCGCCGGTCTCGTTTCACTCGGCCTTATCGTCTGCGATGGCCTTCACACTTACTTCAGCGCTATCAAGGACAGAAAGGATGATCTCGCAATTGTCACACAGAACTTGGCCCTGTTCAAATTCCATATTTTCGCCGTCCAATCAAGTGCATCAAAGCTTGGTCATCATCATTCTCCAGCCATCAATGGCCTACAACTTAGTCTGGTCAATTGCGAAATGCAGCTTAAATGTCTTGAATCGTTACTCAATGAGTTGATGCCGACTGAACATCCATCGTTGTCCAAAGATATTTGGAGAAGACAGAAACTAATTTCGCGATACCCCTTTCATCGCAAGAAGCTGGTGCAGCTGGAAGAGTATCTCTCACGAGCAAACACTACTCTGAGCAGTTTTATACAAGCCCTCAACCTGTAAGTCATTTCCAACAATATTGAAGGGCAGTTATGTGCTAAAACCAAGTAGTGATATAAGTATCCGAATAGATGGCGAGTTGGAGGCTTGTAAAACATCTCTAGAAGCACTGAACACCAACACTCAGACCACCTTGAGAACGATCACCACTAGACTCGACGTCGTTGGCCCCAAAGTAGAACCTAGTGCCCTTCAACTTCTTTCATCCCGAGTAGAAGATGTTGCAGCCTCCAGCAACAACAGTATTGTGTTGCAGCAGACGGCCGTCGAAGTCGCAGAGTGGAAGACTTCGTTCCCTGGAAATGAGCGACGTTTCGAGGATTTCGCCATGGCTCACTCCAAGTCTCGTTATCTACAGAATGCGGAACTAGAAAGAAACTTCTGTAAGGAGCTACCAAATATAGATTGCACCTGTCGAGCTTCAAACAGCAAGACTAGCAGTCGCCCTGCAAGTCGTACGTACCGGTTGTGGGGAGGGCTGACTGTCTCAAGACAAGGAGACGTACGAGCAAACCATCGCCCTGGGTGCATCTTCTTTCGGAAGTCCAGGAGAAGTGTTTCCAAAACATCTTTGACGTACTTCGGGCTTCTGTCCCTCTTTTCCCAATCCTTTACAGTCTCCCTAACACAAGAATACCCTGCTGGGCCATGTAGCTTTTCTTTTGAATTGCAGCCCTGTAACGTTGTCGAGAACAGCCCAGCTTTCCAACTCTTTCGTATCCGGCCAGGAACTATCAATGATATGTCTGGTCCTGATAAAAGCGGTCTTGGTCCGGGTCAATTTTCGGAAAGCATTATCAATGAGCTAAAAGCTATCTACCGATCCGGCAGGGCATCACCCTTCGATGTCGACCAGTTCGGCAATAACATTGCCTTCATTTGTCTACAGGTAAGTCAGCTCCTGTTGTCTTTTTCACTTTCTAACGCATAACTCCTGTAGGCTTGGTTGGCCCACTTCAGCTACATGGAGGAATCAAAGTCCAGTGACATAACAATCAATGCCATTCGTAATATGTTGACCTATCTGGCCGACATTGGCGTTCCTATCGCGGCATCGAATTTTTTTCAAGTGTAAGAATTGACTAAGACCAGATTCCGCGGCATATCTAACGTAAATTAGTAACATATTCACCCTATCTATGCGGTCCTCTGGTAACTTGTGGATACTACCGCTGCTTTATAGGTTGGTCACGAACCTCGATTCAAATTTTGACCACGCCGGACTTTATCGTGATGGGGGCCCGCAGCCTGCGTATATCTGGCGTGCAAATGGAGAACGAGTAGTAAGGCAGATAACTGCACTATGCGAGCATTCCGAGATATGTGAAGGTAATACGACAATTACGTTTTTTTTTTCCACCACTAGTCAAAAGTACTAAGATATCACGCAGATATGGGGTTCTCGGACCTCTTTTTAGCTGTTACGAAAAGAAATAGTGATAAACTACAAGCTCTCTTGGCAGAAGGAGACAATACTTTGAACATTTCGCAAAAAGACTTCTACAAGCGCAATATATTACACGCAAGCAGCAATTGGCCTGAGGGGCTAAGACTTCTCCTACAACAGGAAAGCGTACGTTCCTTGATGGACATGCCCTCAGCGCCTTATCATCATCTCAGACCACTAGACTTTGCTCTATTCCACAGCAGGACTCTCTGTAGTGCTCCGGACCAGTGGACTGATTGTGATGAGTGCACTTGCTGCCTTTCTGTTCGATTACTGCTCGAGGCTGATTGCAATGTTGCAGTCGGTCCATCGTGTCCCCAGGTCCTAGCTGGTTGTTCCTTGAAGGCTCGAAGATTGTTCTTTGAGCATCTCAAGAATAGGCGTCAGCGATTACGGAATCTTGCTATTGCTGTCCTTTCCGAAGAAACCCTACGTCGATATGGAGTTACCGCAAGTTCCTTACCTGACAAGACTGCTCCCCTGATATGGGTTGAATTGCAGGAAACCAAGGATCGGTGGGAGTCTCTATCAGTGTGTCTCAGTGATGGTCTTGAGCCTTACAGAGGCTTTAAACCCGAGAGCTTTTTCGCTTTTCCTCATGCATTAAAGGTTGCAGAGTTGGCAGCCGATTACGGTTTCATGCCTAAGGATGAAAGCGGGGTTCCAACACTTCTGTCTGGCAGTCACATATTGGATGTTTCAAGACCTGTCACTATACGTTATCTGGATTGGTTACTTCAGTATGATCTGAAGCTAGACCTCTCATTGAATGCCTTCCGACTTTCCGCCCTTCATCGTATTGCAGTCTTTATTGGGGACCGGATACACGAATCTCTTAATCAGGCTAAAGCCCTCCATCTGCCGCTCCATAACGTCTCTGTATCGGAGTTGCAAGATGCAAGGGCATTGCTAGCAGCGGTATGCCACAGCGAGGCCATATGCAATATTCCATGTCCCTGTTCATCGGGCATCTTTAGCCGGCCTTTGGCACATGTCTTGCCCGCAATGCTTCTATATCAGGATCGCAGGAACTCGACGTACTTTTTTGAGAACATGACAGAGAATATCGAATTTGTGGTGCGTTCTATTGATCTGTTCAAGCTCTCAACGGTCAGGTTTGAACAGCTCTATATGGCGAAATGCGCAATTCATATTTTGACTATGATGTCCTTGAGGGTAAGGCATTTATCAATCTGCATAAGTGATGGTGAATGTTACCTAGAGGATTCAGATGATGATGAAGAATGGAGGGAAATATTAGACGAGGACCGTGATTTGATCGGTCAGCTTGAAGCACTTGACGAAGAGTTTGGAGAGGCTTTTGATCGTCAAAATGGCGCTATATCAGAGTTTCTCTCGGGCTACTGGCTGACAAGGATGGAAGAGGTCCTCAGGGACTTGAGCAAACCTCTATCTGATGATGACAGATATAATCTGTTGGGGGCCGGGGTAGTGTCGGACGAGGACACGACTGATGGTTCTGAATGTCGTGTTGAGTGTACGGGATGAACTCTGAGATCCGGTCGCTTCATTGGGGGATGGACGAAACAAGATACCAGATAGAATTTCTCAAATTGATCATAGATCCCAAAAATGCCATAGATCCAAGAATGCCAGCTTCATATTCACCGATCTAGGTCACGCCGCAAAACTCAATAGCCGAGTGATGTCGTCGCCCGCTATCACTCATATACCCAAATGTAAGTTAGCTACATACTCAATGTTTTATTCCCTTTAATTTCCTTACGTCACCTTGCCTCTTCCTTCTTATTCCTACCAAATTTCATTCCTGCATTCATTCCCTCTGGCATGTAAGCATATAAGCATTAGCACCGTTACGTTGCTCAGATAGCTAACTTTTATGTGGCAATACAAGCTCTCGGCCACAAGTCTCAACTGCATTTTCCCGGCCTACAACATTAGTTGTCGACCCTTCAAATAACCGGTTTTAGTACAGTCTGCTTGGTCAAAAGCCTCCTCATGCCATTGCAGAGTCTAGAACCTAGCAACACGCGATAAAGCTGAACCATAAGAAGCTCGATCAAAAACCAGCTTCGTAAAACACAATGGCTGCACGGACAGCAATACGCCAAAACTGCAATCAGAGCGCCACGGTTAATGCTTTGTGAGGCCTCGACCTCCTCAATACAAGTCTCACAAGACAAGTGCAGTCTTAGCTCATGCCACAACTTGGTTCAATTGGGAGAGGAATTTTTTAACGAATAAGGTAGGGCGCACAGATTGAGGCGGGGCTTGGCCAGGTTTAACTCTAAATCGCACTTGACAAAACTGACTTCAGCCAGCATACCAACTGTTTAGACAATTACAGGGGTTCTGACTCTTTAGATGTCAATTTATTAGCTTAAACTTAACAGAAGACGGGCAGAGCTTTAAAGTACTGTATTAATAACTAAATAAAAAAGATTTATAATAGCAAAACTGCTAAGTTAAAAAACTTATTATAGTATTTCTGAAAATAAATAGGTGTTACTGTTTATTGAAAAGTTAAATATCTCTGTAGCCAATACGCAAGGTATAGCTAATAAGGTCTTATATAATAAGAATAATACAATATAATGCTTATTTTTTAGCATATTACAATGTATAGCGTTATACACTATGCTAAAGAATACAATAACCTTAATATTAAGTCTCAAGGTTATATAGCTGCTGCCTTAAACCTTATAATCTAACTGAATAAGTGGCCTCAATCTACGAGCATAAAAGAGATGTTTTCCCTGGCCTTGGCAGGCCGTATACCCTCTTCGTCGTTACCCTAAACAGGCAATCGGCACTAAGGCTTTAATACTAAAGGCCTAATTCTAAATAACCCAAGAACCCCTAAAACTATTACAAGATGCCCCGCTGCGCGATTGACATTAATAACGGCTAACTTAGCTATAACCCCCTGGGTATGGCAGCTACTTATTACGTGAATGATCCTCTAACCAATATTAATAGTCTCTATCTTAATAATATCCTAAATTTATATGCCTTCCTTTATAATTAGAAAATTATAAGTAAAGACCTTTTACATGTCGACAGATTACTGCTAAAACATTAAGTTAATCTGGCAATCTTTGATTGTAAAGTAAGGCTCCTTAATATACAAAACGGATCTATCCTTAGATATATTACAAGCTAGATGCAGGCCTTAGAAGACCTTGTTAATTGGCTAGAACAGGGTTAAGACCTATTAACAGAGCAACAGGTCTTCGTAACCTGAATTGCATTGGGCGGCGGCAATGGTGTATACTGGGCGTGGTTTATGGAGTTAAAATGCGCGGTTGCAGTGGTCGAATTGACGGTGTAAATGTTGTATCGCGGGAATTGAGGGCAATTGCAATCGCGGCGTGAAGGAGGGGAAGTGAGGGGGAAAAGAGGGGGAAAAAGGCAAATTGGGAAATGAAGGTTTTGGCGTTAGGGGAAAAACTGTAAATGTTAGCGGACCGAAGCTGGCTGTGTGGGTTAGTAATAGATTGGATCAGGCCCTAAGGCAATGCAGTATAAAGAACACAGGTTAAGGAAAAACACAGATAATGAACACTTGGGTTACTGTTTATATATATTAATCTTTTAAAAATAAAATTCCTTATAAATCTTTTTATTTTCCTTTTTATTAGTACTGCTAGTACCTTACCAGCAAATGATTTTTATATATAAATACCTATGCTATTGGAAGTAGTTAAATTAACAATCTTATTCTTTTAGCTTGCCCTGTTGATCGCGCTGTCAGTATGTTACGCAGAATGGGAGGTGATGTAGAATCATTCTGTTCTCAATGGCTGGCAGCAACAATGGTCATACCTATTAAGGATACTACTTTCCCTATTACTACTCGAACAACTACGACCGGTTCCGTTCGTGTAACTAAGACTATTACCCATGTCCAAGGGACTATTACTACTACTGTTACAAGCTTTGTTCCTCAAACAAGGACAAGGTCAGCTACAGCAACATCAATAAAAACCGCTTTGACTACAACAACTATAGCTACTGCAGTTCAACAGAAGTCCACGATCATTGTTACAGTCACTCGAACGATAACAACAGTATTACCTACAACTTATAGGCAGCATATTGATCAGACTGTCACCAAAAGGGCTACAAAAACTATTACAACTATCATCAATGCTGAAGTTACTACACTTCTGACAGATATTGTCACTGCTACTGTCTCGAGTACAAGTACAGAAATTGTTCCTTTTACGTAAGTCTGCTTAGATTATGTTAACTGTCAAGCTAATAGCAAATCTTCCTTTAGTACTGAGTAAGTTAAAGCCAAGATGTCTTTCCAGTTCGTAGTAACTAAGTCTCTTGATAGAGAAGCACTAGCTACTGAAACCATAGGAGGCGGCAAGTTCTTCAATAAGCGATATATCTAGCTAACATCTTACTAATATTTATATAGGGGAGGTCTATTGTAACATCCGCGGTGATCCCGACGGTGAACAATACGGGATTAGCTCTTTACAAGTCGGAGGCGACGCCTCCACTGAGCTCATTTTCACCCGTTGCAAAGATTATTGCTCTTTCGTGGGAGCTATTAGCTTTGGCTTTGATTCTGAATTTTGTTTGTGCTTTAGAGCTGGGGCGTGAGTGATTTTATTCTGGCTTTCTTTAATGCCAAGACTAACATAATTAGGCAAACTGTAGCCAACGTAAACTCCGACCGCGACTTCCATCATTATGACTTGGCTTGTGATACGGCCGAACAGGTAAGGGGAATCTCTTGAGTACCAATAGCGTTAACACAGGCCTAACTGTTCCAAAGCCTAGCATTCAGCGCGCACGCTCCCACGGCGCGCATCTTGTCAAGCGAGACGACCATATCAGCCTAGAGAACTTGGTTGTCACTGCTGGCCCGCATTTTGACAAGCGAGACGATCGTGTACCAATACCGAATTGGCTTCCAGGGCCAAGGGATCCCGCCACCATCAGCGGTGAATGTTTATGCCTTTTCACAAAGCCTAAATTTGTTGTGTTGTCGTATGTACATTACACTCGTACCGTCTTTGTTCGGCAAACCCAAACCAACATGTTGACTGAAACCACGTACACACACATCTATGTGTCACCTACGTTAACCAAGACCATTTTCGCAACAAAAACTACTAACATTACAAAAACAAGCACTAAGAGTGTGACTAAAAGTCTTACTATAACATATTAGAGGCTGCGAACCCTTAGTACTATAAGAGTAAGGTTATAGGTAGTTTAAAGAGGCTTTAGC